AGCCCCCCCCCCCCCCCAGAAAATCCGTCTATGAGGGAGGCACAAGGTCATATATGCCTCAATACGTATCCCTATGGACGGTATTAGAGAGGTTCAGATTTGACTTCCACTACCGCTACAGCTACTATATTAATGGACAATTAGCTAATCAAATGCTTTTGATATATCTGAGAGGTAGTAGTAGCTGTATTGGAAGACAAATCTGGACCTCTCTATTGAGACATGTGAAGACATTGCTAAGTTGGGCTCCCTTGTAACAATATTTTTGAACAATACTCAATATTTGAGAAAAACAAGAGGGGACAATATTCAATAGTAACATTTCAAATTTATTACATAATCAGAATAATTTACAGAAGGTAACCCAGGACTATATATATGCTAGTGAACTCCATAAAAACGGTATATATCTGCAGTAAGAACTCGCGTACGAAAAAGTGAAGCCAAAGATGGCGGAAATTGATTTCCAGTCCTTTCCTATTGTTTTTTGTCGGCGCAGTTAATACCTACAAGGAGTGTTTGACTTCGATTTAAAGAATAATACATAAGAACTTAAATAATAATAATTTAGATAAAAAATTAAAATAATAATAATTGTATGAACTGATAAGATGATTACTGTAGCTTACGATCTGTTGGAAAAACTGGATTTAGCTGGGATAAACAGGATTTAGACCTTCATAAGCACCGGAAGTCGATTTTCGCCAACTTGGCTTCACTTTTTTCATAGGCCGAATGATTGACGTTTTTACTCCAGAAACATATGGAGCTCACTGCTATGTACTAGCTTGGTGACTTCGTAAACAGGAAGAAAGCGTATAGGTGTGTGTCTGTGTGATCATTATATAGTCATTAGAACTAACAAAGCGTTACGTCAGGTGTTCAGTTATATTCGACTATTTGATTTGATAGAGAATACCAGTATGATATAGTATACATGCAATGTATAGTATTACAGTTTGCCAGTACATATACATACAGTATGCACAAAGTTTGCTTAAATTTTTTGGGCAACAGTCATGTAATTTAGGCATCTGAAGTGATTCTCAACTAGTGTAGCTATACTATCCAAGGACGAACGCGCGCCTGAGCTCACGTGAAACTTTCATGTCTGTCAAGACTTGCGTCAAGAGTATTAGACAGTTTAAATTCGGTGGCGACTAATCAGTATTGTGCTGATTTGAACTTGATCAAATTGGCTGAAAATGGTCGTTTCACGTGTGCAAATAGGAAATGCCTTCGTATTCAATGATCGGCCATCCTGAAAAGTAGGTGACAATTGTGACATTAACTTATTAAATACTTTAAAATATGCTGTACATTTTAAATTTGTACAGTAATATTCAGAATTAAAAAATGATATAACACTAAAACACTAACTATTATAATAGCTGTTAACAACTAGAATAATCAAAATTTTATTCCTCATTTGTTTTCGTCTTTTCTGAAGTTTCTGCATTAGGTGTTCCTATATTGTCTTCTTCATGTAGTACATCCTCTGCATCTCCCACTGAAGAACTTTCGTCTATTGTATCATAGCAACTTCCTTCTGGTTCTTTGCCAAATGTGTCGATCAAGATATAGAGTAACAGAATCAGGATGCATAGTATACCAAATATCACGAACGTTACCGGAGCACCATATCTATGAACTAAGAGTCCGCCAATGATCTCTCCGGCACCATATCCCAGACCCCAATGCACGCCGTGGAGAATACATTGCATTGTTGTCTTTGCGCCGGGCTTCGAATTCTGGCTAACGTACGATAAGCAAGCGGCCCATACTGCAGCTGTAGTTATGCCTGGAAGGATTTCCACAGGTAGAACATACCAAGGATTTTTGATAAACGCGTAGTAAAGCAATCGTATTGAGTAACATATCAGGCCCAAATACAAAACCCTAGCATGGCCTATACATTTTATCAGCTTGGACGAGAGAAAGTACATGCTTACTTCGGCAAAACAGTTAACGGCTGAAATAACACTGAACAACAACTGAGGTCCTCCCAGATCTTTTAAATGCCAAAATAAAAATGTCTTAATGAATGCCATTAAGAAGCCCAGATAAAGTGCAGTAAAAAGAAACATCAAGTATTTTGAGTTCCTCAGTGCTTGGAGTCCGACCCGCAACCCCACTTTTTTCTTTTCAGTCCTTTTATCATCATTGAACTTAAACCTTGTGGCAGTTACAAGAGCTGTGATCATTAAACCCGCGAATGCATAAAAACACGGAATGAAATCGACAATTTCTACTCTCCGATTCTTGTCGCATTTATGAGTCGTTTTAAGCGATGCTCCTACTACAGAAGCACCCAAACCCCAACCGATTGATCCAGTTAATCTTTGCATTCCATATTTATGAGTATTTGGTCCTAACAATTGCATCGTTGCTGTATCGACCAATGCTAGCGAGGGAGATGAAATTAACGTTCCGATGAATGTAATGATAAATAAAGTTATAAAACATTTCTTGCTATCTATATACGTTCCTTCTAATGCCTTGAAGTCTGTTATTGCATTCAAAGGCCAAGGGTTACCTTCGGTAAATGCGTTATCGACTGCCAAACGATACTTATCTTTGTTGTCCTCTACCATTTTGTCGATTTCTGGTTCCGACATTTCCGTATCTAAGTCAATGACTCTGTTGATCTTGTCAGTATCATTACACAGCTTATGAGTTAGGATCCTCCGTTGAACCGGGGGCGGGACGAGGCTTATTGAAAATGTTGCTATAATCAAAGCTATAAGAGATGCTATTAAAACTAAACGACTTTTGTTGAATCGATCAACGATCGCTCCCCAAAGAGGAATCACCAGAAAGTTGACAAATGGTTTCAAACCCATTAGGATCCCTACTTGTGTCGGCGTTAGAAGAAGTTGTTTGAAGTAAAGAGCCAAGTACGGTAGAAGTGAACCCCATCCGGAAAAGAAAAAAAAATAGAATAATTTTGGAATTAAGAGCGGTCGGTTCACTCTTGGACAACATTTTTTGCTATCTTCATGTTCGCTTTCATCGAGATCCTCCGCCTCATCCTTTTTTGTGTCCATAATCCCTACTTTATGCGTTAGCTTCCCTTTCCCGTACACATAGATTCATACATTTTTATATATGTCAAGTTTAGTGTTTTCGTTGCCCATAATTTAAGACACATTGCCGGACATTTTGAACTGAATTAATAATAAGTTTATCTTTTGGACCTGGTTGAACACAATAGCCACCTGGCAAAAAGTGCCTAAATGATATGAAAACAACTGTGCATATACTAAATCTGACTGAGTATTGACATAACCCGCGATCAGGCATCAATCTATTTAAACTTGCTCCAAATCTTTCTCTCGCTCCATGTGTCGTTCCACTATAGTTAACCTAAGTTATATATCGAATACAGAAAGAGCAAGAAAGGGACTGATAATATATATTATCACTATAGTTAACCTACAATACATCGAATACAGAAAGAGCGAGAAGGGGGCTGAAAATATCCTGCAAGGCAGTATAAAGTTGTATAAGGTTAATAAGTCACATTAGTAATTGTTTCTATCGACTTTAAATGTTTCTATCGACTTTAAATTGGTAAAAATGTTTGCATGGAAAATAATTTTTATCTTAAAAAAATCTATTGAATACTTTCTTCAACAGATATACAGTTACTGAATACGCTCTACGTTCATTTCCAAAATTTGTATTGGAATTTTATTTGATAAAGCTCCTGAATGATTGTGAAAAGAAAAAATTACGCTCATGTTGAACTGCCTTTTAAAATATTTTGGCTAAATACTTTTTTATTAATTGACTGGAGAAGGAGTACAATTAACAAAATAATTGCACTCTCAGCCAATCATAATTCAGTAACTTTGTCCATGTAAATGATAACAGTAACAACAAAACATCACAAACTTAATTCTTTTCTGTTCCCTATTCGTGTATTCCATAGGTCTAAAGAAGAGATCTATTTTCAAGATCGACAGACAGTATTGTGCACCTGTTGAACATCTACAGTAGTTGTCCTATAATCGGAGCTCAAGTAACATACCTGCAGGTACCGGAAGATTCCCGATCCTACATACTAGACTTATGTTTTCAAGATCTTAAATCAAACAAATGAATTTGATAACTGAGGAATATTGGCGCATAAAACACAGAATGGTTTACCCATTGCAAAGTAATATATTTATGTAAAGACATTATTTTAATTGTATAATATGGAGAAGAATGGTGGGGAAGAAGTTATTCAACTACTGGATCATGAGACAGAAGACGAATCGATAAATATTGACAAGAATGTAACAGGCAGAAATCCAAACAACGATACTGGATGTTGCTCTGGAACAGATAAACAACTCCTTGTTTCAAAATTATTCTATTTATTCTTCTTTTCAGCCTTTGGCTGCGTCGCTCCTTACCTAGCGTTATATTTTAAACAGATATTTATCTCGCCACGTCAACTTGGGATCATCGTATCGGTTCGTTCATTCGTCCAGTTTATATTTGCCCCGATACTGAGTTCTTTAGCCGAGCGTTACAATAAACGACTTTTGGTAATTCTTATTGCTGTTCTAGCTTATACTGCCTGTTATGTGACAATACCGTTTCTTCCATCGGATGAAAAACCGCCGGCATGTCGATCCAAAGCTACGCCTAAGCAAGATAGCGACGATATTCCGTTAAACACAAGTACTCCCTTGTCGTCATTGTCGAAACTGAACGAGATATCTATGTCAGTTAACCCGCCGAGAAGTGACGAGGGTGAGGACTATTATTATTTACCATGGTCGTTGTTTTATGCACCGCCAGTCGACAAAAAGAAATCAGAAAGGAACCATAATTCTGTTAAACTCTCAGTGACGGATGTAAATAAACATTTGTCCGACACGTCGCCTTTGTATCTTTCTATTCTTCTAGTTGTTACTATAGGTTATATATTTGGCTCGCCAGCTCAAACCTTAGCAGATATCGCCACGTTACAGTCCCTAGGATCTGGGCGTACTCACGAATATGGAAGACAAGCTCTCTTTGGTTCCATTGGGTATGGACTTGTGTCGTTTATCGTAGGAGCTTCCGTAAGTGAACTGAAAATGCAGAATCCTTGTAGTGGATCTATGGACACGAACTACTTTCCCTGTTTTATATGCTTTGGTGTCCTGATGATCATATGCTTTTTCGTATCAACTGGATTTCGTTTTCGTGTGAGCGAAAACGACAACTCGAAAAAGAACGAGTCGCCCAGCGACACAAAAAGCAAACGTAATATAACTTTTGAATCGGTTGTGTTTATTGTCGTAGTATTTTTCTGTGGAAGTGCATCTGGATTTATTGGAACATTCCTACTTTGGCACATTCATGAGTTAGGCGGTCCACAGCTGCTGTTTAGTTTTGTAAGCCTTTTCAACTCCTCCGCAGAGGTTTTTATTTATCATATCTCACATAGACTTGTGACTGCACTTGGTTATTGCCGTGTTATCTACCTAGGCCTCATATGTTATGGAATTCGTTTTTTCTATTATTCTTATTGTGAAAAACCTTGGCTATTCCTACCAATAGAACTGATTCATGGAATAACATCCGCTGCTGTTTGGTCAGCGTTCGTATATTACGTGAGCAATGATGCTGGAAACACCACCACACTCCAGGGTGTCGTGAGTGGCGTGTACGGTGGGCTTGGTTATGCAGCGGGGGGATTAGTCGGGGGAATTTTAGTTCACGAGTTAGGAACTAGTGCAGCGTTTCTCATGTTTGGAGAAGCCTGCTTGGTCGTCTTATGTTTGTTTATTTTGACCAATATCATTGGAGAAAAACGAGCGAAAGAAAATGTTAACTCTACAAGCGAAAGCGAAACTGATAAAGAAAATAAAGATTAGTAATGAAATAATATAATGAAATGAATGATGACACGGAAGTAGATGTACATTTTCTATTACTCTAGCTTTAGAAAACCTAATTTTATATTATACTCTGTTTTTATCTATTAGTATAACTTTCCTTTCCGCTACATGCAGGCATGCATTTCCGAGAGGCATATATCCATTGGCTTTAATTGGTTTAAATCGACTGTTATGTTGTTACAACAATTATTTTGGTACGTCCATAGACTTCGCTTGGTGGACTTCATGCATTACTTTTCATGTGTTTATGCTTCAAAGTTCGGTCGAATTGTAATCAAGACCCAGCGTTTCGACACTCCAGTCTAGTGTCTTGATCAGGGGTGATCTAAAGTTGCAATGTGGCTTGGGTATTTAAGCAATGCAACTTAATTTTTGGGTATTTAAGCATTGCAACTTTAGATCACCCCTGATTAAGACAATGAACTGGAGTGTCCAAACGTTGGGTCTTGATTACAATTCGACTGGACTTTGTATTCATTTGTATAAAGCAGAGTAGCGAGCGAAAACATGAACTTCGGATATATTATGGAACCAGTATGGATATACTCTATGGATTTAGTGATGCAATTACAAATTCCATAGTATAGAATATAGATTTCACTAATTTTTTTCCAGTGAATAAAGGAGAAGAGTAGAACATGACGTTCTTAAACAAGAAATGCGCATTTACTTTTACATTATTTTGTATTAATCTATCATACATGATTTTATTAAATTTGATCTCTAGAGAAGGAAAATAAGCGAATGAAATAGAGTGAAATTATTTAAATATTGAAAGTGAAATTATGCGTACTTTAAGCGAATAAGTTGCTTGTATTGTAGTTGCTGTAATTTTCTACCGCTTATTTTGATACATCGTGTGGTCGTTATATTTCCATAGCTGTAGATGTCTTAGCGTAGAACGTAGCGTATAGAATTTATAAGTTTAGTAGCCATTAGGTGCATATGAAAATGAAGATTGTATGCCTAGCCTGCGTGCAGTCCCATAACATCGTTGCAAACGATGTCATGGTCATGCAATTGCACGTATAGGCTAATGTATGCCTGACATTGGTAGATTGTCCTAAAGTTTCCTTGATGGCAGGCGGGGTCACATTGAATGTAGGGATATCAGAATTAGTAAATTCCTTTGAAGATAATAGCAATTCGCCAAAATCACCAAGACTCATCTGTCAATACTACCAGCGTAGCCCGTATATTCAGACAAACATGCGTGCGTAGTTGACGAATGATCCGCACGTCTAGGTATATAAATACGTCATAACACGAACTATAAGGAAAATATCAGGCATATAGTTTGATCCCAGGTAGAACCATTGCCAGTACAAATCGCACTATTTTGGCTATTTCCTATTGATACTTCGTGTTATGTTGGATGATAATGATTCGCCTGACGAACTGTTACATTCTTGGTATAAATCGAGCAGCTAATTTATCTATAGATAAGTCAATGTCATATAATTTGTCACTGGTTGACGAACTTTGCTGTTGATTGCCACCCGCCAATCCACTACGGTTGAACAAATTGCAGTCGAAATTGTGATCCCTGCGCTGATTCAAACAATATTTTTATACGATTAACGCTTTATATTAAAAAATATTCTATTTTATGGATCATACGAATGCCAAAGATTACTGGATATGAAATCAAACATGGAATATGAGTAATGATGTAAGAAAAATATAGTGAGGTGATTATTATTTTCAATTATATTAATTTCGAATATGTGACTTGTTACAAATTTCATATAATATTATAATCATTCTAAATCATTTGCATTTATGATAACTTATCGTTGGATGTAGTTGAATTAGTTGGGGAACGCGGAATTTTGGTTTTTCGTATTAAGTTTAGTGATTCTATTATGATTTGGTCTGAATATATTTAGACGGATTTTATATAAATAAATTTTATAAATGTGATACTAAAAATTATTCTTTTTATTTCATTTCTTGTTGATACAGATTGTATTTCCCCAGATTATAAGTTAATAAGCTTAAATTATACTTAGTTTATTTTGAGTGATGTCCTACAGTAATCGGCGATGCAGGATTGTTATTGTACTATACATGGTAGCGATGGACGTGTGTTTGCCAACACAAAGTGTGCCTGCATTAATGTTAATATTATGCGCCAATTAACACATACGTTTGTGACATATGCACGTACTAAATCTCATTCAAGTAACCAACAATACTTTCCTATTTGTTAAATAGCTGTTGTCGTTATAATCAATTAATGAATTTAAGAAATTAATTTCATATTTTCAGGTGAGATTTCCTGAAATACAATGGACCCTCTAAGGTGGTTGCTCATTGTTCTCCAAATACTAACGATTGTTTTCGGTAAGTCAACTATTCATGAGCCATTGAATTGTCTGCTGGGTTTGGTGGATAATCTAAGTGAGAATATATATTAACAATTTAAGACCTAACCAGGAACGGTTGCGAAAAATGCAACACTAGTTCCTCTATAATTTGGCCACCATATTGTTATTTTCCGTGCAGACGCGGATTGGTCAGCGCCCTCAGTTTATGACATCATTGCGTACTTCTGAGCTGTCTTTCATAGCGCAAAAAGCGATATTAACATGAATGTTGAATATGTTTTGATTTCAAACCATTCTTATTTGTGAAAACAAATTTCATGGATCCAGTTACCAGCCTCCTCCCCTGAATTCAAATAAAGCAACTGGGGACGAGGCAGTCCAGTAGCCACCGTCCAAGTCAAACGATTTTAACATTACTGAGTCTGTGCATGACAGTGGGTAAATTGTAGTGCGAGCCAGATCATGGTTGCTGCTCGAACATCAGAAATCTACAGTTCATTTTACTGGATACTATTGACTGTTTGTATTTTGCTGTCTATAAACTTAGATCTGCGCTGGGCTTTCCAGACATGTATATAGACAAGAAAGTATAGGATTGGCATGCAATTTCTTCTTATGTTTAAATATTTGGATCGACATAATTTGGGAATACTCTAATAAACATAAGATATTTTATTTAAACCAACTTGTTTTGGGACTGTCATCAATACAGGCCCTGTTGGATAGGATTATATTCAATTATATTATTATTTTATTATATTCAATTTCAGGCAATTGGCTCTTGTTTAAATGGTTTAACTTTATTATGTTCACTTTTTTCCACATTTTCTTAGGAAAAAACATTCCTATAAAGGATGAGGAAAAACGGAAAGCATATCCAAGGCAAATGATCATTCCAAACAAATTTATTCCGATGCTGAAAGAGTCTGCTCTGTTCAAATCTCGATCTTCTTCAAATGATTTGTCCGACTTTTTGAAACCGAAGTCACACGATGATGTAACTGGTAAAACAAGACAAAATCTGATGAACGCGATGGGAATGGATGGAGGGCAAGAGGAAGGTGGCATGGGTGCCGGCAGTATGGGGCCAGGAGGGATAGGGCAAGGTGGAATGGGCCCTGGAGGAGGGATGCCTGGTATGGCTGCTATGGGAGGAGGGACGCCTGGTATGGCTGCTATGGGTGGAAGTGAAGGATTGGGTTCGCAAGCTGGAATGAGGGAAGGGGGCGGTCTCGAAGGATTAGCTAAGATGGCTGGTGGAATGGGAGGTCTTGGAGGTATGAATGATCAGATGAATGCTATGAATGGCATGGGTGGAATGCCGAATTCAGAAGGGGGTGGAAACCCGTCGGAAGGCCTCATGGGTGGAAACAATGCCATGAATCCTATGAACAACGCTGGGCCTGAGGGAATGATGTCCGATTCAAACCAACTTCCTGCTGGAGATCCTATGGGAACATTAAAATCGATGTTAGATAATCAAGGGACTAATGCTGCTTTGGGAACTAACGCAGAAGCATTTGGGCCTGGTGGATCAGCAAACGCAAATGTTTTAGCAATGTTGAATCAAATTGTTGGAAAGGAAATGCCTGGGGAATCTCCGATTGATCCGAGCTCTAAGTCACAACAAATGTGGGATCAATTACAAAAAGGATTGAGCAATCAAAGAGCGGCAGTGCAGCCATATATTGATTCTAGTGAGTCCAAATTTCCACCGGGTCCCGCACAACAGGATGCCCCTTCTAATCCTGCACCCACCAACAACCGCGCTTCTGCTCCGAGTCCCACTTCTCCTACTCATTCTGGGATCAATAACCAGACTGCAGCAACTCCAGTATACAATTTAACGGGCCTTTCCAAAGTTTCCCCTAGTTCCAATCAAAAGATACAAAATCAGCCTAAAGGTGATTTAGTGACCAATGCACCATTGCATACTCCAAATGCACCCGTGCATACTCCAGAAACCAAGGTTACAAGCAGCACTTCGAAAACAGCTAAAGCAAATATAAAATCCCAAGCAGCGACCCATGAGAACGGTATGACTAAGACATCATCTAACAATGCCGAAATTGATTTAGATGATGATCAACCGCTTTCCGACGACATGGTGAAATTCCTAAAGGGAATAAAGTTTGTGGTCTCGCAAGAACCTGGGAACGATATTATCTTGGGGAAGAAATTTACCAGTGATGTACCTCCCGTTTCGACAAGTTTTAAGGAAGAGAACGGAGTGATGAAAAATGTTGTGTCCGAGAAACATAAGGAAGGCAAAGGGAAAAATGAAATTTCAGTGAATAAGGAAAATAATAATGATGCTGCTGCTGTACTAAAAGTTCTAAAGGGTATTGATTTGTCATACGCTAGGAATTTACTACTCAGGCGCAATGTGAAAAATGAAGATTTTGCCGAGTACCAAAGAGCTGCAAAGGTCCTCGAGAGAGCCTCAAGAAAGTTGAAGGATCCTATTGCAAAGAAAAGTACTGAAATTGCAATTGCTTCAATTCTGAAAGTTCTTGAATTGAGAAACAAGAAAAAGACTACTCCTTTTCCCATTAAAGATTTGTTAACTGGTGGTGATGTGAAAAGTGCACTTTCTGAAAAATATTTTGAAGCTGCTAGAGTGTTAGGAACTGCTTCGAAGAAACTGGCTGATCCAGTGGCCAAGAAGAGCGCGGAAATTGGGATAGCCTCTATACTGAAGGTTAGCGCTTTGGGCAATTATTCGCTCTCTAAGAAAAACTTAGTACCATTAAGCCACGACCATAATGATGCAGCCGAAATGTACTTCAACACATCTGGAGTAAACTGCAAGAAATATCTAATCGCAGCTGACGAAATTGCCCATAAACTAACAGTGGTATCAAACTTTGAAAGAAACGTGCATAATTAAACATTGAGGTAAATTGTATTGGAACTCTCTGCGTTTTATTGAAATAAAGACTGGATTTTGGGATTGAAATTACCATAAACCTTACCAGATAGTCAGATGGATATCGTAGGGGTTCAGGTTTGGAACTGCATGAAGAGGGGGATTTAGCCTCCTCGGCAGAAGGCGGGCAATTAATTTATGTTCTGCACCAATTATCCCTCACGATCCCTTGTTACCACCATTGTGCTTCTCAAAATATTGGCTATTCTATAATAGCAGCGCTATACGTGCTTTTTATACGTACTCTACATCTCTAGTCGGTTTCAGACCTGAAATAAACCAAACCAATTCATACATGGAAAGCGTGGCATGCGGTATGCATATAAATTCAAAACACTGCATGCAGGTTGTATGTTTCATTTGGAACATGAAGAACACATTCCACAGAAGAAGGTAGCCCAGGCTCCAGGGATAGTGTATAATTAGTGTATTGTACAATGAGCCATAGTTTGATCCTAGTTCTCGCATTATTTTTAAACGTTGAGTAGAATTGACCAGCATGTCGAAGAATTTAACATGGTTCAAGCGTTGCAAATAATTTTAATTATTAAAATAATTATTGAATGAGATTGATGGGGATATCGAGAATTATCTAGGCCGAGCTTGTGCTATCTTCCGAAACCTTATAGTCAGAGCCAGATCAGACACAAATCAGGGCCCTTTCACGCATAAACCGAATTCAATAATGTAACAATAGAGTTGATGTTCTTGGGCCGCATAAATATGGTTTGAGCCCAGCTCAGAACATATTTATGCTCAAGGACATCAACTGTAATTTTACAGGGCGATTAAAGTACAATAGATAACAAAATTAACCGCAAATAGTTCAACGTACAGTGTCGCCTTTACGCTACCAGCTGTATTTCGAATTCGATGTGTTAGCTACAACGTCTGTTTATATACGGAGAAAAAGCCTAAACCGTTCTTACAAGACACAAAGAAGAATAGTGTGGTTTAAAAACAAAGCTAGTTTCGTTTGTTAAAGATAAACGAACTATGGATAAACTTACATTCATTTCGTCACTGTGTACAGGAATTATTTTCCCATTTTTTTGCAGGAATGAATTCTAACTAATTAAATTTTTGAAAATAGATATATCTTCTCTTTTTGAATTTTTACAGTCATCTTGCCGTTAAAAAATACACAAAGCTTGCCCAGAGCCAGCTCAAAACATGGCAAACGTATTAAGCAATATTAAGATCGACGTCTACGGCAGCCGTATAAAGGCAAGCGGCAAACTTCAAATCGCATTTTGAAAGTATATAAGGCCTACAAAGCAAAGGCCAACAGTTTCGACAGCTAAAAGTAGCTAATTCATACATGCTTCAATTTTAGTGCACAAGGTGCCCTAACTTTGAACAGCTAACATTTGACTTCAAATTACGATTTGAAGTTTGCCGTTTGCGGTTAGCGGTCAACCGTAAACGTCAATCGTAAGGTCTCCATCATATCTGGTATGTATGAATTTTTATCCAAAATATCCGACCGGATATTTCACAACTATTAAAATTAAGCGGGCTATTTTAGCCCGCCAATATATTCAAATACATTTTAGCCCGCTAATTTATTCATTTTAGCCCACAAAATACGCCACAACGCCCGCTAAAGTTACTATAAAATTTTTTTATCGCGCTTATATATATTAGCAAAAATACTGTTTTCGTAAAATGGTTTTAAAGCTTTTTTGAAGGCTTCTTCCTTCTCTCGAGGTTCGCGTATGTCGTTTTCTCTTCAAGATAGTTGAAAACTCTTACTGCTGTTTGTAGCTCGTTAAGTGTTTTCCGCTTCATTTTCATCTTTCTGGCTTTGCTCTGCCTCGTACCCAGGCGCTTTAAATAATTATAATACATGAAGTATTCAGGTAGGCAGGCGACGCGCGAAGGGGCTGTTGGGAAGGATGCGTGCTGGGGAGCGCCTGGCAGTTCTTGTATACTGTAATGGCGGGAAAACATGGAATTTAATACAAAAAGTTACCATATCGTCATATACTCTGTGTGTAAAACCTTACTTTTTGATGAAAAGTTGAATTGAACGCCATTGGCAAATAATGATAAATTTGTAGATGTTTGATGACATGCAAAATGCGCGAGTAAATAGTTACATATGGCAAGTTAACCATGCGAATATTTCGAATATATAATGTCATTCGGTATTATATGGAGAATAATAGAATGCTATCAGTTGCTTAGTATAAAATAGTAACAGAGAAATGATTAGAAAGTCATATAATTGCTTTTGCATTAATAACTTCTTTAGCTGAAGGCTCGATCACAATGCCAATGGCAATTTCTAATTTTCTATTAAATGTATACTGTAAACAAAAGCCCAAGTAAATAAAAGTTCACAACCGTAAAGTTTGAAATATTTATTACAACAGTGCAATTTAATTCATAGTTTATATATACCTTTATATAGTTATAGCTAGCCCGCGTGCAGGCCCAAGGAAACTGATAGTGGGCCTGCAAGCAAGGCCCGTTATTTTGTAAAACGCCCCTTTTCATAACACGCCCCATTCGCGCGTCAATTGTCAAAAAAGAACCAATGACAGCAACCCAAATATTAACAAACAAACTCGCATTAAAATGTTGCGGGGTTTTCTCTGCTTTAATATTCAAAATAGAAACAATGTGTAAACGCCTGTGTTAAAACTCAAAAAAAAACAAGCAACGCAGTCAGTAATTGCCAAATTTACAAGTGCTCATTTTCAACTAAAATCGGAACAGGCAAATTAAGACGAATTTCAACATAAAACCAGTCTCAAACTTCCAATCGTGAGGGAAGTCGTGCGACCACATCAGCATTTATAATGTTGCTTCGCTGTCGCCATTGTTATAAATAAATTGTCTCACTTATCAGATCGTGTGTGCAATTCTTGTTGGCGGCGGAAAGTACGAAATTTATTTCAGTTATTTCATTTGGTGAGAACTCTACAAAAGAAGAGAGCGTTCAGAGTCCAGATCGTTTCGTTTCAAACGGCAATTTAATACCGTCTTCTCTTTTGCTCTCTCAGTGAAGCCTTGTAAATCGCAAAGTATTTTGAATAGGCTTACATGCAACTGCATCTCAACATCAACCAAAAGATAATTTTCTTGAGGAACATATAACGTATCAAGTCTGTTTGAAATTAATGAAACTCAAGTAAAGGTTACTATAGTTTTATACCCCATTCGTAATAAATGTTGCTATTCCAACACCTCACGACAAGCAATCCTCATTGGCATAACGGCAAAAACATCTCTTCCTTCAAGTACACAATAGACAGTCTGTTCTTGTTCCATTTGTAATCGAAAAAAGTGATCAATTTTCGAATTTTAAGCTTATCGAGAGCCTTTGTCTATGCCTTTGTGATGAATCACTGACCTAATTATAGAATCCAACAGCAAACAGCCAATCAGAATGCCGCGTTCGTGGGCGAACGCGGAAAGTACAAAATACCGGGCCTTGCTTGCAGGCCCACTATCAAATTCCCTTCAGCCTGCTCCCTTGGGCCTGCACGCGGGCTAAGTTATAGCTTACAAATCTAGTTCTGCTGTGCAAGTCTAGTTCTTCAACTCTTCGGTTGTTAACATGTTAATACTCCAGGACTTTAAATAAGGCATATGTCATATATACCAAGAATAACAGCATGAATTCACGCCCAGATGACAGAAGAATATTAACATTGGCCAATACAACAAAAACAAGTAGCAAAAAGTCGTAAACGACAACGAAATATCACAACTTGCAATAAATCGTACTTTGTTGCAAGAAATCGACTAAGAACTGCCAGGCGTCTCGCATTTCAAACGTATGTAAACTCGTCATATGCACATCACTGTTTTTTTTTACAAAGAGACGCCTGGGTACGAGGCAGGGCTTTGCTGACGATCCGATTATTCTCAGCAGAGCTGGCGTGTAGAAAGCTATTATTTGCAGTTGTGACGCCATAATTACGCGACATCAAGAAATGTTTATAGTCAATTGTAGACCATCAACCACTGGCCAAACGGAGATTGTATAATAAGTCATGCTTGGCCTTGGTCTTTTTCGATTTTTTTTTGGTTGTCGCAAGTGTCACTTTCCATTGCGGCGTTCGTGGGCTCAGGATTTCGCAATTAACTAAAACATGTTCAGGTGATTACGACATGGATTAGGATTGGAGTTAGGACCAGTTCTACACAATGTTAACCAGAACAAGTGCCGTATTTAACTACGTTACAAATCTTAGACACCGTAATTGTGGGACGTATTTTATTATAATTATTTCATTGCGCATTCGCTTGAACTTTTTCTGTGTTTTTCGATGTCGCTGAACTCTATTGGTTTTGTATGGATTTTTATTGTGCCGTACTCTGAATGTTTGTGATCATGAAGTGACGGCCGTCAAGAAGCGAGGAACATCTATATATTTCAAATTATTTTTTAGAATATTGCGATGCTATTTGACCAACCGCGAAGGCCAGTGTGAACGCCTGAGCTGGCGTCTTGTTATAATTGCTTCTATACGAAACGCATGCATGACTGCACAAGCCTTACTCTTTCATCTATCTATCCCATCTAAATGATTTCGTACTCATTCTAATTATAGTGTGTATATGTAGGAATTCTACCGTTCCGCGCTAAATTTTTCAATTAACCTAAAACTGAAAATAATGAATCAAAATGAGAAAATAGCCATTAATTTAGCTTTTAATTTTGCATTATTAGTATTCAATTTCTCTGTTGCTAGAGATAAGTAAATATACATGCCCACTACGGAACATTAGCATTAGAAAAGCGTTATTTTTTACTTTATGCTCATACTACAGTGAATCATTTAGATCTTTTTGTCGGAATCATGCATTTGACATCATTCATGCGGCATAGAAAAAATATATACATTATTGTTCATAGGATACACATATCAAACAAGGGGAATGTTTGTCGTTTTTGAAAACTGTTTAATCTACGTTTCGACTAATGAGTCGGAGGCTTCGAAAAATTGTCCATTCCCTTCCCGCACTGCCTACCGCCCATCGACAAGGATATTTTGGAAAGTTTAAATAAAACGGGGTTTTTTTTGACAAGTGGAGGAAAATTCAAATTCCAAAATCTGTTCAAGATCATCATAACCAATAAAATTTAAGTCTTGCCTGTGGAAATCCGGAAATGCACAAAACTCCAGTGGAAGGTTTGAAATTAAAAATATATATATGCGGAGAGAAAATCTAGAAATTTTTAACCGGCCACTGTACACCCACGTTTACAACAACTGGACATTGTAGTTCGTGTGCTACACTACAAATTAACTTTCTCGTATGCAAAGGAAGAATTCGATTTAAGGGAATCCTTAACGTTGCATACAAGTGATACAACGCTGATAGTGCATGTGTGCGAACCATTAAGATCGAACCATCCCTTTTTTCAGGAAGTGAAAAAGCCTATACATATGCAACCCCAACGTTTACATTGAAAATAGACATCAATAATGCAACATCTTAGACCATTTTGTCAAATGATCTCCTTCAAATCGACGACTATTCATTGTTCAATATTTTTAATTGTAGAACCCTCGACCTTGGGTTATTATAATAGTCTAACAACAAAATATCAATACCTTGCCTTTCATTTTTGCGCTAAACAAATATTCTGTAAACATATACTTCTTACCCACTATATACCTTATCCGCCAGGAGAATTTGGAATTAATACCTATTAATACTAAATACATGCAGCTAAGAAAACATATACTGCGTTTTATTATTAGTAATGACTAAAATTAGCCGTTGAAACTCGACGCCGTATTGACGTGATAGTGAGTTTTGTGAAATAATGAACTGCATGCTAAAGTGAACTGGTTGTTTGCATGCTTAGTTGCTCGACCTATGTCTATGAAAAACTATAATTCAATCAGAATATTTTCTGTTCTTGAATTATAATACAGTTCGATTGCTATTTTCACTTCAACCGTATCGTAGCAGATCATATAGTATTCTGTCTATAATTGGCATGGATAACTACCAAATAGCTAGTACTCAGGAAAATGGAAACACGCGACATTTCAGTACCATGCGTTTTACCCTGCGGTCGAAAGGCTTAATATTCTCACGCCTTTGGCTTTGCTTGGCCCTCTATATTCGCTGGATACAATGGATATGTGTACATGTAAAACACGCACGTTCTGTGCCCACCAGATAACGTAACCTATACGCATAGATACCAATCGATCGCTGCGATCTATACGTTGCGATATATACGTTGGTATATGGATCTATACGATCTATACAGCTTGCTAGAACTGTAGTTGCTACAATATAAACGGCTTTATACAGTCTCAGTCGTCTGTATATAAAATCTTAAGTGTGACTGTATACAACGCATTTACATGTACAGTTAAATGTTTTAGCCATCTCGAAAGTTTCATTCGTGTAGAAGTAAACAAAGAAGACTACGTTGAGGTCTATGGAATGCGGCTGAAATCGAGATATTCCTTATGTCCAGTTGTTTAATCATTTCGTATCCTTTTATATGTACAACTGTTCGCACTTAGCACTAGGCCTGTATAGACGATTACAATTTAAGTGTCTTTCAGTATCAAGACGGGAAAACTGGAAAAGCCACTAGCATACGTTGGACATAAGGTCATAAGTTATCCGTTGTCGTGTCAGTTAGCTCATACCACAGTTATCTGCGCAGTGCATGATTTTGTATATTTCTTGATTTTAATATAGTCCAAAAGAAGCATGTGGCACTTCTGCCATCTGATAGTGTTCCCCTTAGTAAACGATATGACATGTCAATAATAGATCACTTATGTCAACAACGTGTAGCTATGCTCACTATAACTATGTTCACAGCATGTGAAATGTCTATTCTTAATTTAAGATGAGATAACAGAATGCAGAATTTAATGAATTTAATAGTAAACAATTCTTTAACTTTGTTGAGCAGTTGACGCATTTGTATTAAATAGGCTACAATGTAGAGGTTTGACTTGACTGCATGAATGAAGCCCTTGGCTGTTTTATATGGCTTTGTTCCATGAATTTCGTTGTGTACTGCATATAAAAGTATTAGCTATAAGCTGCTAGGAAAATTGTTTTTTTATATTAAGATCAGTCTTTTGTCCAAGTAAGAAACGTGATAATAGCTATAGAGCATTATGTACGGACAGCGGGACTGCAAGGTGAATTTGCTAGCCCTGCGAACAATTCTATAAAGTAGAGTAGAGTACAGTTTTAGATTTTTTCTGAATATAAAAGTTTGTGTTACCTAAACATAAATAAAAACATTTTCGTTCTTGCACTCTTTATAGTTATCAATCTTCCATCCCCTGCCAATATTTTCCTGATAGTCTAGAAGTTCGAGGCACGCGAGGTCATATTTTTGTCTGTTTTCAGAACATACGCCCTATTACTGAAAAGCAGTGGATTTCTTTTGTAATCGATCTGTAAAGATATTATTTTTGTATGCAATTTTTAAAGCTTGATCCTAAATTTTGGGAAACTAATAAAACGCTATGAATATAACGACCGAAAAATGTTATGTTGTTGTCTTCAAACGTATGTCGCACATATTGTTTCCAATTAAAGCAAACCGCTTGCACCGAAATAACATGATTGTGGGAACGCAGCGATAATTCGTAAATATGTCCGTGACTGAAACCTCATAAAAACTTTGTGATGAAAACATTTTGGGATTTTAGATAATTGGACACCATGGTGCAAACCAAACCGTTTGCTATTTTTAGTTTTAATTTTCACTGTGAAATTTAATTTAGCTAACGAAAATAAACAGCCTCCGTGGATCAATGTTTTCCCAATGCTTAGAAAAATGTAATATTTTCTCATTTCGGAAGCAATTGACATGCCATCTAAAAGGTGTCCTGCTGTGCCCCTTCCATCTAGCACCCACTTATAAATCCAATTAGTGGTTGTTTTCAAACGTTGAATCAGTGTGGACATTGTAATAAATATTTTAATCTTATTCTTTTTCTAATTTCGTGCATTTCAATGTTGGACACCCGCTCGACAGAATCCAATATTGAAGGCTTTTTGTGGATGAAAAGTCGCAGCGGAAATCTCCACATATAGCTAGCTATAAACCATGGTTACTATTCGAAACTGCACCTGCATGGTAAAGTCTTAGGCTATCAGTAAGAAACTTTTAGCGTTTAAAAACTATGCGCAGCATGCACTTTCGCTTTAATTTGAAACTAAAATATCAAAACCTTAATATTCTTCTACAAAAAAATATAGATACTGATTCAACTTATTATGCATTCCATTCTCACTCCAATTTCACCTTTTTGCTTCTACAGGTGAAGCTTACGTACTCTGAACAGCGAAACTATTAGACATGTCGAATGCATAAGAAACATCGCTAATAAGGCATGGGGGAGTCAACTCGTGGGCGTTCATACAAAAATTGTAGGAAATTCCTCTTTTCTTTAGGTCTTGTTAAAACTATCAAGGTTTGCTTTGTTGATAGAAAACGTTGAACACAGAGCAAACAATGATGTGGTGTAAAGTGTGGTTTCAAACAATGCACGAACCTTAACAAGGCTCAATCAACGCTTGCCACTGTTTTACTGCCATTCTTTTCACAAATGTTTGATCTTTAATACGATAAGAAAATGATAGTACGAGCTTTAAAAGGCACATGCACGCGCATTAGATTTTCCCCCCAAAAGAAATCTATTCAACTGAGCCGGAAAGATTTATTCAAAGTTAAATTATTTTGAATACGAGTGTGGGAGAAATCATTTGGAACACGGCAATCTAACTGTTAATCATATATTTTGAAAAACAGCTGTTCTTGCAATTGTCTCAAGCAAAACAAACCCCAAGTTTAAGGTAAGCGGCGCTTTTAATTAACACCTCGCCGACATATTATACTTATTATGCGCTTCCCAATCAGCAGTTAGTTGCGCTAACTGTTAATAGAGCATGCGGTATTAAGCGAACTTCGATAAATCTTCATTATTCTACAGCCATCCTGTCAGTACACAGCACCAACGTAATTTCTAAGATGGAATCAAATCTCACAACAAATGTCTCGGCCGCGTCATATAATTCCACAGCAACAAGTCATATCAACACATTCTTCAACATATGGTCTGCCGTGTTCTTTATCGTGTTGTCCCTAAACTTCATAGGAAATATTTTAGTGGTTGTGGTCATCATGACAGAAAGAAAGTTTCATAGCACGATGAATTATCTGTTCGTGAACATGGCATTTTCGGATTTTCTCGCTGGTGTCTTTGCGCTACTTTGGTATATCGCAAACTATGTCGCACCGGAATGGCGAAGTGACTGGGTCTGTCGGATCGTCGCTGCAAACTCTATTACCGTCCTCAGTGGTCTCGTATCCATTTTCACCCTAACGGCCATCACGTTAGAAAGATACCACGCAATATTGAAACCCCTCGAGCACAGAATGTCTTGGTCTCGTTTCAGGGTAATCCTCCTAGTGATCTGGACATTGAGCATAACCTTCTCCTTGCCCTATGTTATATTTATGAAATTTGTTGAAAGACAGAACAGAAAGATGTGCATGTTCCTACTCGGGAAATGGCAACGGCAACTACTCACCAGTTTGATGTTCAGTTTTATGTACGTTTGCCCCAATATCATCATCTGTGTTGCGTATGCGAAAATTGTGAAATACCTATGGTTCAACCAAGAGAACAACGAGATGCAAGAGTCTCATAAAGCTTTGTTGCGCTCGAGGAAGAAAATCACAAAATTGCTTGGCTCCGTCTTGATCCTTTTCAATCTTTGTACCTTCCCAAATTTCATTGGTGATTTTATGCTAAGTTTTGGTGCGGTCGGTTACGGACACGTATTTCCACAAATTGTGTTCCTTATGCAACTTGTCTCAACCTGCGTCAACCCATTGATATTCTTTATTCAGAGTAATCAGTTCCGAAAACGACTTTTGGACACAATTTGCTGCAAGATCTCGGCAATAGAACGGTGGTCTACATTGCGAGGAACAGGAACCTCAACTAAATCGCAGACAGTATCGATAAACCGTCATTGTCGAACGACATTGTAATGTATTCACCGTAACAAATGAGACTGCTGTGCATAGTTGTTAAATCATTATTACCATATTAACACTAATTATTGAGTGTCGGGAGTGGTTGCCATTTTACATTTTGGTGTTCCCTACAAGAACATTATTTGTACTGGATGCATGGCTATGATTGTCAGTTCTGTGTTGAAAATGTGCTCTATAGAAATACTGTGCATGCAGTTAAGGCCCATCCCTTTTTGATTTAGTGTTAATATTTGTTGTTATATTATATATGAGATATATGTACCAGCAAAAACCTGCGGTGTTTGATTTAAGAAAACCGCACAATTTTGGAATTGAACCCAGGGATAAGTACATGCAGTATATATATGATAAGATATCTCTGACTGATGAAGTGAAATCCCATCCTCGGATTTGAATTTTCTCGAGATATACTTCCAATCTTTGGAATTATATACTATTAAAGCTGCTCTGAGTAAAGTCTGACGAATGTTAATTAGAATACACAGTGATACACAGCTGTAATATCATGTTTTGTTCTCGGCACGCGCAGGTAGTGATCATGGTCAATATTTTGAAAACGAATACATATGTTGAAAAAGTGTTAAATAACTTATATTACAGAATTCTTAGTTCTTTCTAACTGTAGTTAAATCAACTTAAAATCCGTCGCAAATGTCTTTTACTAAACGTCCATTATTTGGCTACGCTCCATTATTTGGCTACGCTAACTTTATCAAAATTCAATGTCTATATGAATCCATGGTCTTTCCCAGAGCCTCTTTTAATATCATAGACTGGGGAGGACTTGTCCCCCCAGCCCCTGTTTGGCCCCTCCAGTGAACTATGCTGCCCCCACCCCCCCGTGAAGGTCCCTTCTGTCTAAAATATAAGAAAAAAATGTTTAGTATTCCCATGACCAAATCTTTGTCTAGCGGATGAAATATAAAAAAATTGTGTCTAAAAATGGCGAAAATCAAGCCACATACACTTAAAAATACAACATTTTTCTGGGCCAGACAAGTTCCCACTTCCCACTTTTCCCGTTCACCACCTCCTAGTTGGGTCGCTTTCTCTTAATGGCCCCTCCACTGACAAATTCTTAAAAGAGGCCCTGGTCTTTCCTCCCACTCATGCAGTTTTCTGTTGATGGACATTTTCTGTACTTATTAAATATTTAAATTAAGCTAGATAAAACGTTACTTTACAGTTTTGTATAAATTAACATAACATGTTTCTGTGAAAGCTGTGAATTTAATGTAAATAATGTAGGCATGCAGTTCGCTGCATAATGAATGTATGTCTTGATGTAAAAAACGACTTTATATCACGCAAGATGCATGGCTGTGCATGGTGGGTAGGAAATAATTGCAATATATAAAGTGTATATATCTCGGTATGTGCAATATGATGAACTGAATATATTTCTTATAGAACTAAAGAAAAATCCTTATGGTTTTCAGGTTTTGTGAAAATCTAAATTACAAACCTATACGACTATGGGTTTGTATTTAAATATAAAATATCAGCTAATTACACTGGCCTGCAGGCCAAGTGTCTTAAATCCCTCTTTTTCTGTTTTTTCCGTACTCGAGAAGTGGAGTTTGCGTTAGCTCATCGCAGGCTCACCTCGGCGAATAGTAATAAGCTCGTATTTATGTAGTAATAGTCGACTCATGCTTGTGGTACATTTTTCGTTTATAAGCCCATACACGTGTACGCACGCGCACAATTCCAAACTCCAATGGCGACTTTTCACAGAGTGATCAAACTATATTTTACACAGTTTCGTTGAATTTTCAAAGAATTGTGCCGGTTTCCTGTGGACACCGTTGTGTACTTATGTTAATTTTTGCGTCGCACTCTGGACTTTCTTGCCTGTTGAATTAATGTTTTTCTTTTTGTAATATATTAAACGACTCGAAAACCCCAAAATTTCATAAATTTATACCCAGGAAATTTATACAATATATTGGAATATAAACAAGGACAAACTCTCCTAATTCCTTACAATAGTGTTAGTCAAATGTCGACAATATACCTTTAAATACAAGTATTAAAATCCGCGCAATACTAAGAATTAAGAGAATTCGCGTAGCGCTGGCCGCTGGGTGCGTACTGCGCGAAATATAATCCGCGCGAAAAGCTTTGTGGTAGCTATACTAAAGATAAAGCGTGCCTTCAAAATACCAACAAGAACTAGAACCATTATTGTATGGTTCTCATTTGCTAGACTTGCCACAAGTCGACCTCGAAGAAACGCATTTCGTTCGAGGTCGACTTGTGGCAACTGGCAAGTCTACTCATTTGCCTAATACAATAACATTTAGTTCGACGCGAATTTTAATACAAGTATGGTATATTTCATATTATAATATAGCATTTGTAAATTCTGAACGCTGATTGGCTAAGATCCGTGTTGATATAACTCCATGTCAACACGGGAAATTTTCCGCCGCTTGTAAACACGGAAATTTTTCTTATTCTTCGGGCTTTTGACATTGCTATATTATAAAACAAATATAAAACATTTTTTCCGTATTGATATATAGTTATATCAACACTCGTGGAAGGTGGGAAAACTCGAAATTGTATGAAAACACTCCGCCCTTCGGGCGTCGTGTTTCCACACAATTTCTCGTTTTCCCAATTTCCACTCGTGTTGATATAACTGTATATCAACACGGAAAATGTTTTATATTTGTTAAATATAACAAACAATGTAAACTGTCTAAACTTGCCATACATTTTGCCAAACATAACTTCGGCCCCTTTGGACATATCTTTTTCGTAATAATATTATTGGGACCAGAATCGAAAACACTATTTATAGTGTTATTTTCAAGCTTGTGTCTTGGGATTTTCATCTTTTATTTCGGTATTTACAGAATATTTATATTTTTAGCGCGGCGATCAAAACAACACGCTGTTTAGGAAAAACCGGAAATCAATTCTGTAGGTCGGCATGATTTGCACGTGCATCAATCGAGCTATAAACGTGCGTGCGAGTAAAAACCCGATATTTTGAAAAATTCAAAATAAATATTCCTACTCTGTGCCGTATTCAAACGAAACTTTGTACATGAAAGCGCTTGAATACAAGATGTATTTTACTCACATTGACTCTGAGCAAATTCTGAAGAGTTACTAGGGTACATTGCCTGTTAATGGGTAAATAAGAGACCAATGTCAGATGTGTTTGTTAACCCATGTACTGAGTCTACTGACAGTACTCTGCCACTAACAAGTAAAATCGTCTGGCGTTACAGTGTAAATTGGTCTGGCGTTAGCCAGAGTTAATACTAAATTGCATTGTCAGCTAATAGGTTAATAGACCTTAATGTCCACTTTTGACCCAATGGCTTCATTTTCATGTTGGCTATTTACTCGTATTCCGTGCACATAATTTAAGAATGAGTTTGTGAACGGGCTTAAATGATAAACGAGAAGGAAACATTGGGGATAATATAACCGAGAATTGTCTAGAAGTATAAATTTTTGCATTCAGTTCATACGCCAAAAGGCAGCACTTTCCTTGCGATAGTAACTCCTAGGAATAGATTTGCACCATTACGTCTCCCGAAAAGGTCTTTTATTTTTTTAAAAAGTCCATAAAATTTGCTTGCGGTTTAAGATTTGTATTCCTGCCTTTTGCACCATATGAGCACGTATCTCGTTATTTTCTGGCCAGTGTGAACGCCTGAGCAGGCGTCTTGTTAAAACTTAATTCGTTTCTTTCATGGAACGCAAGGAATTTTTTATTACAGTAATACTTTTTCGTTTTTCTTGGATTTTAATAACTGTTATTAATGTACATATCTCGACGATACCAAACAATTAATCCGTCAGCAAATTTTTATAAAAGTACTTTGGTTGCCACAGTATGCACCCAAAACGCATGCACATAGACTGGAGAAATTATATTGGAGAATGCATGCTGTGCAGACACCTTTCTAAAACACCTCTTTCCGATAATCATAATACTTAGATATTTTCCTTTAGAGGATTCACTCTTGCTAGGGCCATGCATTACAGTCTTGTGGTACTGTATTTTTTTTCTTACTCAAGGAAGAGAGAAAAAATCTCAAAGGATGATTAAGATATATGGCGGAGTATGCAATTTTTAAATCAAATTTAGGATATACTCTGCCCACAAAGTGACCGCCAGCATTTGAACCTGCATTCCTCTGATGTGAGACTAAAGCTTCATTAAGTCCGTATCAGAGGTCCGGTGTCCCAGGAATTTGCCCCCCCCCCCCTTTAGGAATTTCGCTCCCCCTTTAGAAACTTCGCCTTTCCTTTAGGAATTTCGTACGTAAAAATGTCGCCTCCCAAACGGTTGCATATGGGATAATTATTACACAGGGAACTTTAGATTTGACTACGAGTACGACTACGAGTACGAGATTTGATCGTGTGCGAGAAAATTACCGTGGTCGTTTTCGTTTCCATTCAAATGTTGCTTTTATAGCAGTAAACCAAGAACGAAAGAAAAAGTTTCATAAACTAAATCTCCTGCAGCTAAAATCCCCTACAAAACGTGTAAATAAGTCATAACACTAAAAACAGGCCAGATATTTAGTACTAATATATTATTTGCGCCGGATAAACACTATATAAATGCTACAAATTATTTTTGGAAAACAAAAAAAAGCCAACTTTCTTTGTTTTTTTTTGAAAAGGCGTCGTGAGGACTACGAGATTTCTCCACAATTTCGTACTCAGATGGGCGACGGCTACGACTTTTTCGCGTCAGTACGGGATGGCGTAAGCATACAGCATGCGTTTAGCTTGACGAATCTCGTACTCGTAGTCGTACTCGTAGTCAAATCTAAAGCTCCCTATTACACGACTAACACGAGCATCAATTCAAAATTGTGAAGGATAAAAGACCTATATGACGCTTCACAACATGCACATCTATATGCATTTTTTGTTAATCCTTAAACTCATTGTTAAAAAGTAATCACCGTGGCGGTTATTGTTAATATTGCTATTGTCAAAACTTGTTTGTTTCACTAAAGGTGGTTTTCCACTAGCGAATTTTTTTGCGCGAAGCGATCTTTTTCCTTTGTCGGCATCCATTTTTCCACGTCTTGCTGACGTAATAAGTGATACCGACAAAGGAAAAAGGTCGCTTCGCTCGAAAAAATTCGCTAGTGGAAAACCCGCGCCTTTACACATAACTAAACTATATCAAACCGTTTAATTTCGTTATAAGGAGCACTAAAAATCTTCTCTCTATATGTATGCAGTTTTCTCAAAATTATTCACTGATTGAAAATTGGATGGTCATCCTGTATGTAATAGTCATATATCATGTACATGTATGGCATAAAAAAATATAATATGGAAGCGATATAAGGCGTTGCGATACCATAGGCTATGCCAATTGGATGCAAATAAGTGGAATATTTGAATGAATCTGTGGTTAATGCTCTCAACTAGACTGTACATTCAGTAGCCAAAGCGCTGAACCGGAATCGCAGGACTTCAAGTTCCGTTCCTGCCAGAGCTAGGGCCTATAGTTGCACATTTCAATAGATCTACAAATATTTATAATTGTGCGTTCGATAATTCCGAAAGAACCCATCTACTATTACTTCTACCGAAGTAATTCTGCCGATATTTACCACCAATATACCATACAGTATTTACAGTATATTTATATTATCTCATATATTTTAACTCTGAGGTTAAAGATAATAATGGTAAGATGAAATATTAATAGCAAGTCATCTAAAAGACCCCATTCGTTCTCGTTATTCACTGAGCAACAAGCTTTCTTAGAACTGATTAATGTTTTCGATTTATATTTCATCAGGCTAGTATGTTTTTTTTAAGCAAAAGTGTCTAGACAATTCTGTCTCTACACTATGGGAAATAATAAGACTCCTGTGGGTTGATGGTGTGAAAATAAAAATATATCAGGTATATCGCAGATTTACATTTTGCATTTGAAATAAGGAAATAGTTTAATAAGGAAAGTTTAATATTCTGTCTGTTCCTTTATTTCACAATAATTGAAGGTATTAATTAATACAAACGAGGAGCATCCAATATTTTCAATGAGTGCTTGAGTCTTTTAATGAAGCATATAATTAAAGTGAATTAATTTTTAATTGATTAGTATTGCATGGACTGATTACATATTTCTGGGGTTACGCCTCCTCAATATCTACATCTTATCACTAACTACGGTCATTCGCGTTCAATTACCATCAGAAAAAGTTTAATGATTGCTTCATTTATGTTAATAATGCTGTCTGCAACACAGGCTACACTTCCAATCATTTCAACACAGGCTACACTTCATTTCGTTTGCAATGGCACTATCAGATGTGGCTTTAATTATATTCTAACTATCATTCACCTCAAAGTCACCTGGTTTGTTGTAATCATGGTACAGAAAATACATATAGAACCATAGACTGAAATTTTAATTCAGAAATATAGGAAGAAAAGTATAGGCTAACATTTAATTGATTTTGCAGTGTTTTAAAAATGTGACTTCTTGAAGGAGACAATTAGAATGACAATATTATTGGACAAGGATCCGACCTTCCTATTACAAATAAAGTAACTCAACATGAGAACGTCGCGATCGCTATTTAAGGCGGCACCACACAAAATCGTGGTTCATAAGTGTCGTAATGACTAGGTGGTGAGGAATTTCTAATATTTCACCTATCTTTTTTTCTAGTATTAGTTGTCGCGTTTACGTTGGGCTTAACGTGTAATTTCTCGTGTTCTGTATGATCTATTCTTAGACTAGTAGAATTTAATACATTTTTAAAATGGTACTTCAAGTGTTTATGTTTTCCACTATGATGTGGTTTTCCAATATTTGATTTTTTCTCTCCGTCTTCGTCGAAGTCATCATCATCGTCATCATCATCACCATAATTAAAATCACCATCATCTTGGTCATCTTCATCGGCAACACGATGTCTGTACAAAGGAAAATGGTGTCTTCTTGGAAGATAATCATCCTCAATCTCTTCACCTCCGTTATACCCTATATGGTGACTTAATTGGTATCTTTCCATTCCTCCTCTGTATTCACTGAGGTCGTCAACATTTGGAGCAGGAAATCCGGGATTATGCATGGGATAGCGATTTGCTTGAGGTAACTGGTTTGATTCTACGTAACTAAAATTCAAAGGAATACAATTAGTCAATTAAGAAGCCATACAATGAATCAAATGTTATACAGTCAAGACTTATTAGTCCCATCAGTCTTATTAGTCACGTCAAGAGTTACAGCAATGAATTATATTAGTCAAGAGTTATGGCGATTTGCCATATAGTCCTCTCAATTTGATAATTACATGCACTGATTCTGGAACGAAGTACCGCAACAGAAAAACCCGCACATAGTTAAGATATCACTAAATGTTTTCATTTTTTTGTTTTTAGTCTTGTCTTTATGTTTAAGATGATCATAAAATGTTTCATCCCAAGCCACATGTACCGGAAAGATAATTTCACTGACCTTTGGTATGGTGTGGCTGCACTATTTAATGGTGCATTTCCGCCACTATTTAACGGCGCGTTCCCAGCAGTCTGCATACTACGGAAAGCGTTTTCTTGTTGCAATGCGACTCTTTCTTCCTCATGAGCATCTTGTAGTTGCGTGTAAGTTAAAGGTCGTCCCGGTACATGCCCTTGTCCTGGTTGTCCTGCTGATTGTGCTATCAAAGGAGGATTTGGATCCGCGGGCGTTTGTAACAAATGCATTGGTGCATTAATGCCATCGTTTTGGATCGCTGATACTGGCGGGGCCATATTTCTGTTAAGTGAATTGGCAAGATCGTCATTTGTTGGAGTTTTCGGAACAATTCCTGAAGCATCTTGTCCCACATTTGTTGCCACTTTGGTATTTGGTGGCGATTCATCCATCACATAAGCTGAAGTGTTAATCACACCTCCTTCTGGCTTCTCACTGGAGTTGTCACGGCTTTTGTTATCGAGAATGTTAGTGTCTGTTTTGTCTTTTCTGTTTGTCTTATTACCAGAAAGTATTTCTTTAACCTTCTTGAGAAACATGTTTTGTGCTTTTTGTAATACTTTTGAAAGAGTTTTATGTGATTCTTCACTTTTATCATTTAACAAGTGCTTTGCTAATGTTTTTGATGATACCAACTCTGAGATGATCTTATTGTGTTCGGAAACAACTGATGAAAGCGGAGTTTTGGAGTCCTCGCTCTTCGTCTGTAGTGGTGTTGCTGAGCTATCCAAAGGAAGGTAAGATTGGTCGTTCGTAAGATTCTTACTGGATGTTGTACCAATTATGTTGATGTCGTGCGACTGTGAGATTTGTTTTCCTGCCTGTTGTCCAGAATCCGCAAGATGTTTAGTGTATAGCTTTTGCAGCGTGGCAATATGTCCAGTGTTATTATGAGTGTCGTTGAATTCATTTTCAATAGTACTCTGATTTAGACTGCTATTGCCAGTTATTCCATGTGAAAAGGTTATTAGTTTCTTTCTATTCCCAGGCGGAAATTGATAACGCGATTGATTTTTGTTTACAGTCAGTAGCTTTCCAACCAAATGAATGTTCGCCATTTTATCTCGTGCCTCCTGTACCGTATCATTTGCATGGTTTGAATAGCTTACAGGAGATTCGTCCAAACGTGATTGGCTACTTAAACCACTATGGATTGGATGGCCAATTATAGAATGGATCGGTTCTTTCTTATCCTGGGTGGCATCATCAAAATCATCAAAAGTGTTTATGTATTCTACAGGTTTTCGAGCGTGCTGTTCATTTGTGTGGCTGATTTTATCAGATGAACTATTTCCTGCGAAAGAAAAGGTATTGTTGCCGTCTATTTGGATACTTTGGTGTTGATTATATCTCTTGCTTGGCTTGCCATACACAACTTTTTGCGAAGTTTTATTTACACTAGTTGATTTTTGGTGGGCTACATTATTAAACATTGCAATACCGGCTTTCCATGTTATTGGTCTTTTTTGCTCATTTTTTATTCTCCATGGAGACGTACTCTTGCCATCATTATCGTGTTGAGAGTTTTCATACTTTTGCTTCTTTGTTTCGTTCTCTGAAAAATTATTCAATAATTTTGCTTGCAATTTCCGAAGGCGTTTAAGTTTTTCTAGCTTATTCCGAGCATTACTTATCCATAATAATTCGTCTACCATTGATGGTAATATTCCTTTTGGTTTCTTTTTGTTTTTGTATTTTGATTTTAAATCCAAATTAGGGGTTGGTATTGCTTTTATCAGGTTCTCTATTCCATTTTGTGGCGCTGCAGGTATTGACAAGGGAGCAATATTTTTTTGTTTCTTCAATATATGATTAGGTAAATTGAGATTCTTTTTCAAAGGTTCTCCTAAAAGTGAATGTTTTATAGGGGTTGCATTCTGGAGCGGTTTATATAACAATTTCTTGTAAGGTTGGTGAATATGACTTAGTGCAGTTGCCGACTGATGTTTTGTGAAATCTTGCAAAGCATACTTCACTTCTTTCCCTTCGTTCTGACGATTACGTTTTTCACCTTTTGGTAAGATATAAGAAAATTTCTTCTCTAGGTTACCAAGTTTTGTCAGCTTTTCATCTTGAGCAGTGTCAAGAGACTGTAGAAATGATAATCGTGCTTGTGCAAAGGAATACCTGGCTTTGTTTGTTTGGCTTATTCCAATTCTAGCAATTTTTTTAACTGGCTTTAATACACTTGACCGTTGATCAAAATCCTGAATTGTTTTCCTGTTATGTGGCTGAGCCAACGGTCTTGGGAAGTTTTCCTTAATCATTTGCTTTACCCGTGTCCCATGTTTCTCATGATTCCTCAAGAAGTATGTTGTTTGGCTCCGTTTTTTATTTTTACGTTTCTTTATGCTTTTCAATGTTTGCAGTAGTTGGAGAAATAGTTCTTTGCCATTCCTGGATCTTTTGTTATGACTTCCCTTGGCTAAAAGCATAAATTAAAATAATTTAGAAAGAAACAACTTCTCCTGGATTCTTTTTCTAATTGACCTACTGCATGTAGGTGTTGACTTTCATTGCGATTTTTCAGTTAATTAATGTCTCTAGCTGGGAGAGAATTCGTGAATAACATAGATCCAAATCAACATCTCGTGCTAATTTTTGTATCTTTGTACGCGTTTGTGATTCATTTTAATAAATGAATGGTGTAAGGATATGAAGAGTGATAAAGTGAAGGACAAAGACACAAAAGTATGTTATAGGTAATGTCCAGTGGAAGCTGATTGATCAATTGAATTGTGGTGATTCGTGCTTATTCTTTTTTACATTGCATTTATTGCTTTCACATTCTTTTGATATTTTGGTTAGTTGAATAAGCTAAGAAAGTGTTCACTCTTACAATCGTTGGCAAATAAACTGAATATTCTAAATATTCAGTGTTTTCAGTGTTTCAGACTGTTGAAATATTTTAGCTCTCATCATTTAATTAAGAAAAATGTTCTTTCCGGATCTATTTGCATGCATGCAATAGAAGAAACGTTTCGCGGATATCACGAACTCCTTCAATTACGATATTGAGCTTAATACCTGTTGATTCCTTGTGAATTCCTTTTGATCGCTTGCTAATTTGGTTTTTACGTCTTGCGCTTTGGACGTCATCGATAGTTTTTGCAATTGGTGAGAAGATATTCGATGCAGATATTATGTGATGCTCAGTGTCCAAATGTGCATAATCGAATTTTGGAAATTTTATTCTCGCCGATGTTACTTTCTTGTGATCTCGTAGAATTCGGAGAGCGTGGAGTAAGTTTAACAGCAGTCTCTTTCGATTAACTTCCGCTAGTGATTTTTCATTGGAATCATGTGCTAAAATGGGAAGGAGCATAAGCTTATGATAGCATGACTAATTGAAAGATTTAGATGTTTTTATACGATTTAGATAATTGTATCAGAAGTTAAATTAGAAGTCGGCTATTTTGCGAGCTTCGAGTCGCTAGCCATGCTTTGAATGAGGCTTTGAAAGTTTTTTATTTCATAAATATTAATGACCTTTGAAGTTAAGTTCCCTGTAATTAAATTCGTTTCAGCACAATTAAAGGCAAAGTTCTGCCTTTTGAATGATGGGTTTTAGGGCGCATTTCAGCCCTTTTAATTGAAAAGAGTAACTAAGAAAATCGATTATGCATAATTCAAGATCAGTAAACTCGATGTTTTTAACAATAAAAATGTTTTAAAATGTTAAAAACATTGAGTTTGTTGATCTTGAATTATGCTTAATTGATTTTCCTAGTTAGTTTTTTCAATTAAAAGGGCTGAAATGCGCCTTAAAAACCATCATTCAAAAGGCTGAACTGTGCGTTTAAGGCCGTTTTCCTTGCACTTCAGTCACATCGTACCGAAGCGTAGCGTATTTCTTTGTTTCCTGAGCACTAGAGTGGAACTAATGACTAGTGAAACTAATGGTATGATACGTTACGATCCGGTTGAAGTGGAAATTGGCCTTTAGTAATTTACTTGCTAGTTTACTTCGTTAGATCCATCGGCATGTTCAAGAATTTATAATAATTATATTGAAAATCAAAGTGGGGGCTTATATACGGGGGTGGGCTTATACATGGACGATCTTTTGTGTTGGTGTAATAGTGATAAAAAAGTATAATGATAGTGATAAACAAGTGTTAAACATAGTAATAATAGTGATTAATAGTGGATTAAGTGATAAACAATAGTGATAAACAAGTGGGCTTATATTCGAGTGGGTTTATATTCGGGGGGGGGGGGGCTTATTTTGGGGGTTTTACGCGGTATTTAATTTTATTATTAAGTATGACCAGACACTGACTCAGTTTGTTTATATACGGTATACTGAACGCTCGGAACCCTAAATTCAAGTCCTTTTCATCAGAAGTACAACTGAAGTTAAAATAATTCAATGTATACAAACATGTCGTACATTGTACATACTGGCATACATAAACTTTATTTAAACACGGGACTAAAAAACCATCAGTACATCAAAACTATTGCTATTTACAAGTTTGAATGAATGAATGAATGAATAGTTTGTTTAATAAAAACATCTGGCAGTCAGAAGACTGAATTACATGACGTTAAGTGTTACAAGGTTATAAATAGTAAAAAATTCTATATTACAATGCAATTTAAAAATTGTTAATATATACTATATATCATATACTTAAATGTACTAATCTATATGAGTTAAAAATTCTAAAATGTTCAAGGAATATCTAATTTGTAATGTTTCTAGCATAAAAGTTGATAAAAGAGTTTCCGAAACGATTTGTATTTGCTGGTAAAACTTCAAAAGATCTTTCTTTTCGTAATTCTCTATTGCCTGCTTTGGATGGTAAAGTTTGGCAAGTTTATGATCATCATTTAAAACAATGTCGTTGAAGAGATTATTGGATAGATACTCCCGTCTGTTTTCAAGAGAAGAAATACCAGCGATGTTAAGAGCCTCGTCGTAAGACAATTCATAGAATATTATTTTTATTGCTCGCTTCTGTATACGTTCAATGTTTTTTGCAAGATTTCGTGGCAGGGAACTATGGAATAATTGGCACGCATATTCGAGGACAGACCTTATACAGCTGCAAAAAAATTTGACCAAATCTGCCGAAGCGACATCAGCACGTTTGAGTCGTCTCAACAAATATAAACGTTTAGCTGCTTTGGAGACAATTGAATTTACATGGTCTATCCATTTAAGGTCATTTCTTAATATAACTCCAAGCGATTTGATACTTGTCACTCTTTCCAAATTTCGGTCACCAATACGTATAGGTTCAAAAACAGGTGGTAATCGTGAAAAGGTATTACCATTTCTTTGCATTTAAATGGGTTTAGTTGAAAGGAATTGTCCATAGACCAAGTAGTAATATCATCGATATCCATTTGTAAAGTACTTTGTTTGTTTTTTTCAACAATTTCAGAGACCGTAGTATCGTCGGCAAATTTCCACATTTCTGAAAGGTGATTATGTAACACAAGGTCATTTATCATGGCTAAGAATAGCCAAGGCCCAAGTCATGTGCCTTGAGGGACACCAGCTGGAACTTGGAGCCAGTCTGAGAAACAATTATCACTTAGTTTGACCCTTTGCCATCTATTACGTAAAAAGTCAATAATCCAGTTAACCACACAGGGCTTAATACCAAGGCTGAAAAATTTCGCAACTAATGTGGTGTGATCCACCATGTCAAATGCTTTTTTATAGTCAAGAAATACAGTGCGAACAGATGAACCACTTCCATCTGTTGCACTCAACCAACAATGGAGCATCGATATCAAGGCAAGTACAGTGGAAGAATTTGGAATAAAGCCAAATTGTTGGGGATCAACAACCTTTAACAGAGTTGGTTTTACTTCTCTTTCGATTACAAGACGTTCCGCTATCTTTGATAGAGTGGAAGTTAAGGAAATAGGTCGTAATTCCCTTTCCAAGTCTTTGACAGTAGATGTTTTTGGTAAGGGGACCACATCGGCCAGCTTCCAAATTTGAGGGACTTTACAGCTTTGAAAGGAAGAATTGATTATATTTGCAACTGGTGAGGCGAGAATATCCGAATAGGTTTTAAAACCCAATTGGAAATACCGTCAGGGCCACTGGAACGCGATCTATTAATTTCTTGCAATTTTCTAGCTATAGTTGACTCGGTCACAATAATAGGCGTTTCATCGTTGTGTACAATTACAGCCGTATCTTCAGATAATGGAACATAGTTCTGTATCACATTTATAAAAACATTGTTAATTTTATTACTGAGGTTTATGTCTGTCTCCTGCCATAAATCTTGATGGAGGCGGTCTTTTACACTTTTGTTGTTTAGTTTAGATGTGCCACACAACTGCTTCACTTCCCGCCACCAATCTTGGGGGTTAGTGTTACGTAAATTATGAACTTTAGATTGATAATAGCTCTTACGACAACGTTTTCGTTCACGATTAACTTTATTACGTAACATTTTAAAAAGAGTGACATTACCAGATGCAAAGGCTTTTTGTCGACGATTTATCAGTGATTTCAGATTGCTATTAACCCATGGTCGATCATTAGGGTGGACTTTTATTGAACGTTCAGGCATAATTAAGTTCAAACCATAGTTTATAATGCTAGTTAAAAAGTATATTTTTCGATCATTTGAGGGTATGGACGATAAAATGTCCCATGGAATTTCCTGGAGAAATCGACCAAGACTTCTAATATTACTGGGTCGCTTGTCTCTTGTTTTAACAATACGCGATTGTGGTTCGTGCGATCTTTTCCTCGTTCCAGGACACATGGCAATTGTTAGATGGTCTGATAAGCCAAATGGAGGAGCACTAGTAGGAGGTGAATAGTATTCAAATAGGAAAAGGAAAACAGGTTGCGTTTTAACAATTCTAAGTGTAAAGTACTTTCTATCACAAGGAAATCATCTCCGCTAATCACTTCGTATAGTCTTGACGGTCAACAACTGGCTTTGTCTAACACTGAAATTGATCTAGGCGTTGTTATGAATTCCAACCTAACCTGGATCAATCAAGTAAACAGGGTGCGATCTAAAGCTAATAAAATGCTTGGATTTATACGACGGACTACAATGGAAATGCATGACATCGGGGCGAGGAAGTACCTTTACTTACAACTGGTCCGCAACAATTTTGCGTATGCGTCTCAAGTATGGTCTCCACAAACAATCAAATTAATCGAGAATATCGAGAAGGTACAGAGAAGGGCGACAAAATACATTTTAAATCTCGGTTTTATCACCAACGTTCCATATACAACAAGACTACTTCAACTCGACTTACTTCCTTTAACTTATTGGCACGAATATTTGGATTTAGTTCTACTCTACAAAATAATCAATGGCTACACATATATCGATGACAGTTTTCGACCAACAATGGCTGGTTCTGGAATAACGAGGAGCGAAACAAATGAGAACGTATATAAATTTTCAATACCATTTGCCAGTACGGTGACCTTCCAGACTTCTTATTTCATTAGAGCGTGTAAAACATGGAACATTTTGGGCTGTGATCTTCGTCACAGAGATATTGGTCTGAATACCTTTAAATCTAAACTTAAGACATATTACGAACACGCGCTATCCAAAATATACAATTGTGACGATCCACGCACATGGAAGTCGATATGTGTTAAATGTAGAAGGGCAAGGTCCCTGGACGGTGTTTTAAGATGTTGCTAGTTGCATGTATGTTATGTTTTGTTGTATGTTATGTTTTGTTAAGCGTAATGTCAGTTGTCTGTTATTAGATTATTCAATACTAATATTAACGTGATTTAGATGTAATTATTAAGGACTCGCCGTAATTGGGGACACTGTGGCGAGTATCCTGGCACTACATTGTTAAAATTTAAATTTAGTAGTTGTCGAACATTATTAAATCATTAAATCATTAAATCAAATAGATTGGTATAAATTTGGTCAAGAATATTGGCACCTCTGGTGGGAAAATCAATTACTGGTTTTAGTTGAAAAGGTTTAACAGTAGCCTGTAAGTCCAATTTGTTGAAATCACCAGCAATAATGATTGCAGGGTTAGGAATTGAAGATTCAATATATTCTAATGAAGATTGGACATAGTCACGCATACTTGTACAATCGGCATCTGGAGGGGGGTACACAACAGCTATTATCATATTTGAGTAATTTCGTGGGAGTCGTTTTGGTTGTAAAGCTAGCCACAATACTTCGTGATTATCACTATCTAACTCCGTTAGGCGGTTGCAAGAAATGGTATTGTTAATATAAAAACAAACCCCACCATGGGATTTGTGTTGACGATCACGCCTGAATAATTGGTAATTTGTAATATTAATAGCTTCATCTGGAACGGATTCTTTTAACCATGTTTCGCTGAAAAAGGCAATATCTATATGATTCGAAGTAAGAAATACAGCAATTTCATCGATTTTCGGGGCTAGCGACATAGTGTTTGACAATAATATAGCAGGTACAAAATGCGACGAACAAGACACGGTTTTACTATTAACTTCGGGGTTCGCAGATACATGAATTAAATTGCTTGACTTGATTCTCTTACGACAGATGAGGTTTGGGTTGACATTTTCCTGGTTATTATTATATAAACAATGTTCAAGTAAGCTTTCCAATTCACTTTCCATCCCGGAAGACGATTTACCCCCGGCCTCGTCTAATAATAATATTTTTAAAAGTTCATTTTGTCTCTCAACATTGTACGTGCTCGAAAATCCTTTCCCGAATTTTTATTACGTTTATTATGTTTCCTAGATGGTTTTCGCTGGGTGATGCGGGTTGGAATAGATTGATAATTATTCATAGGAGTTGTATCATCTGTAATAATTCCACTATTACTGGGATTAATTACTGTGAGATCTAGACAATGGGGGACTACATTCATTATGTTGGCCATGGTAGTGTAAGTATTTTTTGTTAGTATTAGATTGACAAATCTCCACACATTCATAAAAATAAATGCAATGAATGAAAAAGGAGAGAAGAGATAAATAAACCCAATTTTCTTTCAAAAACTGAAAATTGGCGCCAAATTGAGACAAAGCTAAAGTCCCATACAGTTTTTAATTCGTTTTTTAGTGTAAACCATAGGTGTAAACACCTGGGTTGGTGGTTCAAACCGATATTATTAGTATTTAAATATACTCGTAACTTGCAACTCGCAGCTCCCACTTTCATTTCAACGTTCATTTTTGTCTTATTTGCAGAGCTGGGCAGTGAAACATACCATAAACGTCCACAACTCCGACCACCAGTAGTAAAATCAGCACCGTAAACTGCTTCATGCTTGCTCATGGGTGATATTTTATCATACAGACCATGCTATACCCTAATAATACAAACAGAGTAAAATGTGGAAAAGCTGCACCGTTTATAAGTATGATATCTGAGTATATGACGTCTAAGTATGATATGACCTGTCTACATTTTTTAGGTTTGAACATGATAATACCTCGTACGTTTAGATTTTTAATATCCTGCTGTAGTTGCGTGTATTATTGAAGAAAATAGAATGCTGCAGTGTCAATCAGTGCACAAATCAACGTATAGTTGCTTTTAATTTTCTGGATCTACAATATCCATTTTTTGTCATGTCTCATTTACATGCATGGCAAGATTTAACGCTATTTTCACATATTATTTTGTTCTCGGCTTTTGCCTTTTATTGATAGTTTCTGCATGTGCAGTTGAGCTGTTTTCACAATTTTTTGCTTCTTAAATTAACGATCATTGTTAATGTATTGTTTACATGCATGATTAGTTTTAACTGTCTGATCTTTTGTTTCCGTATACAATCAGAAACAGTAGAAAGTCGAAACCGGTAAAAATATTCCAAATGGTAGTAGTTTAGAAAACCTTAGCACTTTTTAGGCAAAGCCTATACTGATATTTTAATTTAATATTTAGATAGAACAACTGAACAATATAATTAATCTCCACGGTTGACCACATGTCTACTTACCGTATCAAAGTTCCGCTTTTCGAGTAATAACATTGTTGTTCATTAGCTGCACTCTTGGCACTTTCCTGCCAAGCATATATCTTGCTAACTTTTAACTGTCTTTTAGCTTTGGCAAATAAGCACTTTAAACCATTTCAGATAAATTTTCTCTACCCACTCAAAAAGATATGATGTAATTTGTTAACCTCATTATTTATTTAAAATGTTTATTTTGCATCGACATAAAGTGGAAAGTATTTTCTTAATTTAAGACATACAGGCTATGAAAGTTCAATAAATAGTAAACTTATCACATCTTGTTGCATAAAGTATAGCATTCTGGACAACGTATTCGAAAGGAATTATATCTGTAATTTGAGTGTTCCATAAACCGTTAACTGCATAGTCTAGTACTGCAATTAGAATTGAGTGATCTGACCATGCAGTTGTATTAATAAACATTAAACATGCATCACAATTAACCGCCTAACTCTTTCATTTTATTACTTTACTGAGCATTCTATTCACAAATAAATGTAGAATAAAAATATTCCTTAGCTGTAAAGCTAAAGTGGAGTTCATTCCATCACCTGCTGTGAAAAATTTGAATACCTGTTAACGATGAAATAAACTTATCTTGACCTATCGTATCAATGAAAATACCCTTCAGACGACTTAGGAAAATAAATTTATCTAACTGTTGGTTGATAAACGACATGTGAGATCTGTTTATATATTTTTGTTCCTAAAGTAAGTTTGATTTGTACTATATTTTTTAGTAATTATTATTAATTTTATACATGGTTAAATGATTGTAAACACTAGAAGGAACATTGATTTAGTGCATGTTTGTTTAAACATCAAAGTAAGAGTTACTTATTGAATATTGCACTTTTCCAATTGTATAACGAAATGGAATTGTGGTTAATGATATTTGTAGCAAATTCATTTTAAAGAAGCCTTTTGTATTCTTTCTACTTACTCCATGCAGGTTCAAAATAATAAATTAACTGGAAATATGGTCAATGGATGAAGTATACATTGCGGTAACAAGAGATGAAGCCAATCGTGTTAATCGTTACTGTCCTCCTGGCGAGCTGTATATGTTCATCGAATGCAGGTATGTGGGTTTTTAAGCCACTTTATTGATATATTTTTCCTCGCAAATATCGAGAAGTATATATAAAGACGAGTCTGAAAATGCATTAGAAATAGGCCTTGAACGATTTTCTCTGTAGCAGATCTCCTGCTTTATTTTACTCTTTCCTACACAAGACAATTTTACTCTGCGTTAACCTTGAAATGCCAGACTATTTTGGAAATGGACACATAAAGGAAATAGGCACGTTTACCTTGACTGTATTTAACGGAAATGCTTTATGTGTATTGCACTGTTGTTAAAAGTTTTGCGTTGAAAATCATATAGTTGTGATAACGGTTTATGTACTTTAGACTGTTAATTGTTATCTATTTAAAATGTCTTACGTTAAAATTCTCAATGGCATCTTACACTCCTTACATTGGATTTCAACATGCTGTTGATATATTGAGTTTTTCCTTTCAGATGAATGTGCTGGAAAAGATAAAGTAGCCAAATTGGCACCTTTGCACCACATAATCGAATTTGGTAAAAGAAGTAAAGTTGAGGGAAAAGGATGTAAACATTCTCCAGCCTCTAAAACCTCAGGTCCTATCCTAGGACTACATGGTCTTCTTCATGCAAGATCTCAGTCGAAAAACAAACAAAATGCAACTGAAGGAAAGAATAAAGTTTCTTCACCCCAAAACATTACCTTTGAAAAAACAAAGACCGAAGCAGGGTCGAAAAGAACCAATGCTGAGTTACACAAGCTTCAACTTAGAGCAGAGACCATCAGCATGTTGCATAAGATTGTTGAGAAATACTTCCCTGGAGGACATCTCACTGTCGATCAAAAAATTAAAGCTTTAAGGATTCTTGGAAAATTAATAAAACTTAAGAAAGAGGGGAAGAACTCAGACATCAAAAAATTATTGGGAGCGCTGTCTATTCATAACCATAAACAAAGCGATGGAAGTTCTAGCAACTCAGATGTTTTCAAAGTAAAAAAGAAACCTGTCAAGAACGAAGAGTCCGGGAAAAAGGACAACACTGATCAAAGCGGTGGTGATGATATTTATGCAAATATAGCCAGTGGTCCAGACGTTCCAAAGTTACCACCGTCAGTTAGTGGGAAAGATCCTGATCATGCCCACTCCAATATTATGCCTGTTGGTCTTCGACCATTGGGCGGAGGAAGAGCTGGTGAGTTTTGAACTTTAAGGTGTTTATTCCCAGCTTTATGAATACAAAGTTCCGAATTTGCAGGGTACTATCTGCACATAATAAGGGAACCTTTTTAAGTTCACGATAATTTAGGTTTAATAGGAAATACGTTTACTAGGTTTGGCTGAGCATTCTTGAGGTGGTGGAAATCAATCCTTTTTCTAGGACTCCGGAATATTCAATAAACTAGTTTAAACTCGTTTACAAGTTTCTTTAATACGTCCACCTCTGTTCATGGAGTAGTTAACCTGAAATTGTTTCGTTATTTTTTTATTTCAGGATAGAAAGTAGGGGGAGGTAGATTAAATCTTTAATTTTCAACTTTATCTACACTGCATGTGTAGGAGAGCACGTGCACCAGAAACATCACCATTGCACTAACACGCACTTCCAAAACGAAGCAAAGGACAAGCAACTCATTTAGGTTTTTGTGTTACTACAATACTACAACGAGCTGCAACAGATAATTTATGTTATTAATAATATGACATTCTGGTTGGTTTATCAAACTTGTTGTTTAATTTTCCCATTTCAATTCCTACACTACACTTTCTATGCAGCTAAAATCTCTCGGGGCAATATTTATGGCAAACATTTCGAACGAGTATATCCACATCACTTCATAGGTTGGTCAATGGAACCGATTTTTCTAGCCCTGTAGCTTAAATAATTTTGTTTTTAATTGGTAAATAAGATTGTGCAGATTTAAATCTGCCCTGACGAGAACTGTCGATTTTTTACCACATTTGAATATACAGTATTCAATTTATTGAAAATTATTAATTTAGGTGAAATGATGAGTACAATAACTCGTCCAAATGACATCAGCGACGACCTAAATGATAGAATATCCAGTTACCAAACCCCACTTGGTAATTCGCAAGGTACTATGGGATTGGGACAGATTTACCACAATGGGAACAATTTTCAAGGAAATGGGATAGGCATGTCAAGTATGGCAAACATGATGGATGGACAAGGGTATGTGCGCAGTCGAATGCCATATCCTAGGAGAAGGTATCGTGGCAGAGATTGGCTAAACGCTGGAGGTCGTTATTATGGTGATGACGATGAAGACAACGACGATGAAGAGGATGACGACGATGATGAGGATGATGATGACGGCGAAGAAGAAGAACAGGGTAGAGCAAGGTCATATGTTAATCGACACCGTTTCTATAATGATAATGATAATGATAATAACGACGATGAGGATGGTTATGGTGAAGAAATTGAATACACTCGTCGTTTTGACAGAAAGGACAAGATTGCCAAAAGTCCGACGAAATCGAAAGAGAAATCGCCGATTGCCAAGTTAAAAGCTGAAAAGTAATATACTATCCGAATCTACAGTATGCCCATTTGTAAATTTCCATCTTTTATACTGCACTGCACTGCACTGCACTGCACTGCACTGCACTGCACTGCACTGCACTGCACTGCACTGCACTGCACTGCACTGCACTGCACTGCACTGCACTGCACTGCACTGCACTGCACTGCACTGCACTGCACTGCACTGCACTGCAGCAACTATACTATGACGGTCAAAGCGCATTAAAATATCAATGTGAATGGTATAAATTAGTTGTCAGTGTACATGTGGCATTTGCTAAAAGGTGAGAAACCCACGAACAATAGTGAACAATATTTGTAAGTAGTGTGAAATGTGAGCAAAATTTAAAAAGTGTATCAGGAGAGTTATATGTGCTCTTTTAGTTTATATTGTATATACTTTTTCAGGTGAAAGTGAGTAAGTAAATAAATAAATCTCACAGATACTTAGCAAAAAGTCTCATTAGCCAGTTTTCCGATTCCCCATCACCAAGTCCTCCAATTCCCCATAATCCAGTTCTCCAATTCCCCATAACCCAGTTCTCCAATTCCCCCATCACCCTGTTCTCCAATTCCCCATCACCCAATCCTCCAATTCCCCATAACCCAGTTCTCCAATTCCCCATAACCCAATTCCCCATCACCAATCCTCCAATTCCCCATAATCCAGTTCTCCAATTCCCCATAACCCAATCCTCCAATTCCCCATCACATAGTCCTCCGATTCCCCATCACCAAGTTCTCCGACTCCCTATCACTCAGTTCTCCGATTTCTCCATTCCTGATTCCCCGATTCCTCGGTAACCTTCTTTTGATTGGTGCATCTATAGACCTGATATACCTTTACCCAGTTCCCCCAATAACTTGTTTGCCGAACCCGTAATTAGTCCTCAGGATCTCTGATTACTGGTTTTCCCTATCTCTATTACCGCCTCACAGTATTCGAAACTCTTATTCATAGTGTATTGTCTTTTATTATCATAATCAATTAATCATAAGATTGTAATTAATTTACCCTGCTAACCTTAACTTAGGCAATGGCCCTGATAGTTTAGCAAGTTTGTTGACTTCTCGTATAAGTTTTTCTCTTTGTTCCTTAAGACTTGCCGCAGACGTATGACTGTTCTGGATGACATCAGCAACTTTATTTGACTGTTTGTTGTACTGTTCATCGTACCCGTACAGCACACCGCATGTGTGTTTAATGCTCCTAGTTTTGAGATTAGTATGGTGCGTTACGTGTTTTGAATGTTTCCTGAACCTGGAACAAATCTTGTGCAACGTTGTTGTTTTCCTCACTCCACGTACGGCATGGCCAGCTATTTTTTAGAAAGGAAACAGAACTGACGCGTTTTATTCAATATTTAATAAGCAATTCCAGCTTTTAGTTTATGCGTGCAAGGGGGATTGTGAAGTAAGGTATCATATTGCTGATTATGCTGAAAAAATAAAAATGGTGGCCGTGTAAACACAGAGTGATATAGCTATACTTGTAAATATTGAAATATTTCGGTTGTTTCAGCAGTTTGTATTGGAATTTTTCAGCATAATCAGCATAATACCCCCTGCGCGCATAAATTGAAAGCTGGAATTGCCTATTGAGAAACTCTGTTTAACATTAATTAATAATAAAAAAACCCGGTACGGAATAGGTTTAAGAATTGATGTAAATTCTCATGCGTAGTTCAATTAAGGTGACTCGGTCATTCAATCCACAAAACCTTGACTTGTAAGTACGAAATAAACAAAAGTTTTATATACAACTTGAAAATACTATATAACCCTGTTGCCATATTATTTAATGTAATCTTTTATCTCAACACGGCCCTGTGAAAAACAACCGATTATAATTATGAGTTGATCAGGCTGTAACGTACCTAAATAAATTGAAATATCTAATATTGGCACATACTGCAGCTTACCATAATTAACTTTTTCTCCCAAAATACGTCTAAGATTATCTGAAAAATTAAAGTCGAATGTTACGACAACGACATACTCCATGGTTTATAATGAAAAAATATATATTAAAAGAAAGAAATGATTTATATAAGGTTAGATAAAAGCACACATTAACACCTTTATTCGTCGTGTGATTTTTGGTATCTACAAAAATTACAGTTTTGATCATTTTGATAGATGACTTCTGTTCTGTCGAACCAAATTGCGAAGCTATAACAATTGACCATTTGCGTAATAGAATAAATTTTGATCTCAACAAACATTTCAGCACAGCTTGAAAGAGCATCACAAAGTTAGTAATATTCCGAAGTTTCGTTGCGAAATGTTGTAAAATGCGGAAAATATAGCCTTGCGAAGTTTGCAATTTTCAGTCGTTTCAGATTACAAACGCGAAATTGACAGCCTCGAAGGGTCTGGGGCTGTCAATTTCCCGTTTGTAATCTAAAATGACTGAAAATTGCAAACTTCGCAAAGCTATATTATCCGCATTTTACAACATTTTGCAACGAAACTTTGGAATATTACTAATTTTGTGATGCTATTTCAAGCTGTGATGAAATTGTTGTCTAGACTTGTTTAGATCAAAATTTAGTCTATTACGCAAATGGTCAATTGGCCTGCCTACTATGCATAATAATTATGTTAATTATCCCAATGTACGAAAAGTGTTCTACGATTAATTAACTGACTGTACCGTGATCTATTTCAGAGCTGTCCGAAAGCCATTTCGAACGAAGGTCCTTTGTCATCAGTATGTCGACAATGAGGGTTAAAATACATAAACGTTAGCTTTGACATGTAATCATGGGAAGATAACATGCCTAAAGAATTGACCACGAGTAGAATTGGAAGAGAAAATGATCAGGTAGAAGATCTGGTATGAAGAGGAGTAACTTTTTCAAATGAAGAGGAGGGCAATTAAACGATTAAGCTTTTGAAGAAAATGACCGGCAAATTTGAACTTGTCGTATAAGCTGACCACGAGAGATATACAGCTAACTACAGTTTTCAGACTCTAACATCGTTGTCTTATGCCAACTTAGATTATTAATTATAAGGGAATTGGAAACTAAGAGAGTGCGTGTTTATCCTCTGATTGGTTAACCAGGTTAGTTAAACGCATCTGATTTATTAATAGCTGTATTAATAGTCAAATCTGAACCTCCCTAATGATTTACGATGTTCAACTCTATAATATTATAATAATTATAGTGATTGTAATAATAGCAGTTACATTCTTACCAGCTTTACACACATTCGTCAAGGCAACGATTAAGACGAAGAGTGTTATCCAAAGATATCTCCTTGTCCTAAACATAATACAGCTCTTTTTCTACAAAGATAGACTAAGATGTATTAGAATACTACTTCTGATGTGGAAGAGATTACACGAAGAAACAAAACACACACACTTAAATAAGTGGAACTAGAAATACACAAGTAGGATGGATTATTTAGAAGGAAACCGATTTGTTTCGGCGATGAAAATTTGAACTAGTCGAAACAAGGAACTGTTAATATAAAAATAACTGTTAATAGAATATATGCCGTTCAGCATCTAGATAAATATTAAAAGTTCGATCGAATGTTTTAACCAAGTATTTCCTTAGTTTCCTAGTAATCCAGCGACAGACTTTATAATTCATTCGGATAATAAAAATAAAGTAATTTTTGTTAATTTATTATATAGAAATATGTAATGAAAGGTCGCATTGTTCTGATCAATCCAGAAGATTCTCTATCAAATAGAAGGCGAAAATGAAAATAATGTTCATTCGCATGGATTATAATTTTGTATTTGCAGATCTAGTATCAGCATATAGACAAAATAATGAGTTTGTCGAAATTGAAGCGAATTTAATTAATTTAAAGCAACCCAAATTTAAATAAATTCGAAAATATTCTACACCACCTAACAATGCAACTAGGCCTATTTCTACTTTACCTGAGTTTAAACGAAACCAAAGTTAAGTATTTGTCTACATTTTTTAACGAACTTGATAAATCGCTGCCATATATTTATCTTGACCAGTAAATGTTTTTCTTTCTTCCGGTACCAGCAGGTTATGCCTTGTTTGCTGATCTATGCAATTATATAATATAATATAATTTTATATTGATTTGGTGCACCTATATTTCGCTGAACTTTTGGATGTGCATTTTTTTATGAAAGTGTACGTTTACTTTATACAACTTTATATTCAACATTTTACATTCCACGCTAACTATAGCAATATTCATCATGGAACATCGGTAAGGCCGATTTACAGTCTAGTATACAACTTTTGCCTAAAGCTGTCACATGCATCCTGTTACACAACCCACCCTGAGACAACATGGGCGAGTTGTTTGCCCGAGTTATACAGTACAACTCAAGTTGTAAGAAGGTTGCATGCGACAAAGGGGAAATGTTGTGTAGCGTAAACTGACCTGTATGAATCAGATCTAAAGGCTACTCACATGCATGTATAATATGGCCATAATTGTACTAAACCGCTAGTAATAATAACTGCTTGTAATGGGCAATTTTGATTCAGTTGATTCTATACATGTTGGATAAGTCGATGCCAAAAGGTATTCAAACCAGGCCAATTTGTTCATCCGACATGCAACAATACACCCTTCTGGAAAGTACGTCCTGGCTATAGAGCCTCGTTTTCGTGTATGTGGACATCAGTTAAACGCGCCGCTCTATATAGCCAGGACGAACTTTCCGGAAGGGTCTATTACTGCTGGATGCAACATTTTACGCCTCGTTTGAACACTATCTATGTTGGGTAATGTTGGCTCATGTTGCAATATGTTGGATTGAGTTTGACTTTGTTTAAATTTTTACCAATATTGTCTACAATGTTGGACGATTTGGACTCGTCCAACATTGTTGGACTATTGTCTACAATGTTGGACGATTTGGACTTGTACTTAGCTACAACCAAATTGACTGAGAATATAGGAAGGTACGTAGGTTACCTTTTTCCTTCCTTTCTGGTATGACTTTCGGATCAATCTTGAATGAGCTAAAAAAGTCACTATAGCTAGAGCTCCTCCGATTATGATTACAATAACGATTGCATGAACTGAAGATGTGCGCAAGATTTCTCTGGTACGAAATTAATTAAGGTATGATGCAATCGTATTTCGCATTTGTTTATTAAGATTTGTTAAGTATAGCTTATTACAACTTTTGATCTGGATTGGGACTTCGCTAAGTTTCCGAACCAGACAGTACTCTACTATATGTTGGCTATATTTTATGACATCACAAGTTCTTTTATTTAATTAATACTTATTGTAAGACATGGTTGATTGATTCCTTGAGGTAACAATCTGAAAAGGTAAATTTATTATTTTATTCCCTTTTTTTCCTTTCAACGCCCTTATAAGTTTATAGTGTCTTATACTTTTCACTAAGGTAAAGCATGTAGAAGTAGTTTACACATCAAATCTCAAACACGTATCACAAATCACAATGGTCTATTAAAGACTAATTAAATTTTAATGATACGTGAACCTACATTAATATCATTCTTCTTAAGTTATTATATATATATACGAAAACACTGCAAGGACAATCGGATAGTATTTCCTTCTAAGATTAACTTCTTAACCTCTCATATAGAAGTTTTGTCCATAAAATAAAATAAAAAGAAAAGTGAATAAGTTTCAGTTTAATTACACATTGCAGGTTGTTTACTGTGAACAACAGGTTGCCAGTGTAGCGGAATTTTACAAATGGCGAATTTAATGTTCGCAAAATTATTGATCTTATTATCAGCAATTGGAGGTGAGTTCACTATATCAGAATAATTATTGTTGAAGATTTACATTCGATAGTTATGTGTGACCTAGAACGTTAATATTAAGGCATTTTAAACGAACATTGTTTTTCGATAATATTTACATTGATTGAGTGTCAAATTTGTAGGGTAACAAACCATAATATATTTAGCTAAAACCTGTATCGTTTATATAAAAAATCTATAAATTTTCCGCGAGAAGAAAATTATAGTAATTAGCAATGGATAATAATACATGTACTTGATCTAGTGGGCTAATGAAGGGTATACGTAAAGCCCGGATCAAACGAGGATGAGAGTTGGCAGTCATCCGTTTTGGTTAGCTGTTCTTAATGCTTTCCCAACTCTATCATGTATTTTATCAAGTTACATCGTAGTTGAAACACTGCCTGACATTTATTTTGTTAATCTAAAGCTAGATTTGTCCCTTGTAACAACTCGTGATTCTCATCAACCGTCTCATTTTCGTTTACCGGGGCGTAATTAAATACTAACTCCCGTATTCTGAAGAGCTCACTAACACTCACACTCAATGAGTGGAAGTTCAATGTGATCTCAAGCTTTTCTCGAGTGTCAATGCTGTTTTTGAATAGCTGGAGGGTTAGTGTCATACCTTACTATGTGGCTACTCACCCTCCAGCTATTCAAAAACAGCATTGACACTCAAGAGAAGCTCAGATTGAACCTCCACTCATTGAGTCTGAGTGAGCTTTTAGAATACAAGCGTAAAAGCGGAAGGATTTTTGTAGACGGAAATTTCGAACGAAAATTTTATACATTTTAGATCTTACTGGGCGCTGTTAAGATAAGTGCAACTATATATAGACCCTCCGACAGGAAGCCTGCATGCAGCCCAGCAATCCTGGTGCAGCGCTCTGAATACTGAGCTACGGAGTCCAGTTGTCGAGAATAACCCACTGAGCAGTTGCATTGCGCCCTCAATTATTATGTTACTCTGTCTAACGCCAGACGATTTTACTAGTCATTCATCAAGGTGCGAGCGCTGGCGCTCGATGGGTTAACCACGTTCTTGTATATATGCCATGCAGCTAATGCCAGTGCAGCGTTACTATAAAATTAATATCGCTGCACTGGTACTGGCCTCACCTAGAGTATACCGTATATATTTATTATTTCTATTGTTTTCTATAGTTTTTTCGCTAGCATTGGAACCACTTCCAGGAAAGTCTGGAGAAGATCAAGGTACTAACATGCTATGCACTTCAATTGGTCATTGACAGGCCTTGTAAAAAGAATCGATAGACAAAGCTCCTTGACGAGTTTATTTGCTTGTGTATGACTTGTTCTGCGATCAGTATTTTCCAAGAAACGTTTAAATTAATTAACTACGTATTATTATTTCAAGATAATTTTTTTGGTTCTGCAAAACTGCATCCAACAAAATTAAAAACATGAAACTGTCCACTATACCACACCTCAAAAGCGAATTTCAAAATAAACGAGATTCAATGAACATGCACCGCGGTAAAATGTCTGCGCATGCGCACGAACTAAATATGGCGAACATTTTAAATTTTATTATTCGAAACAAAACCATGGCTATTTATTCACTCGATATGAGTGACACAAACAAGAAAATACAGAAGACGGGTATAGACTAAACCTGAATCATGAGTCCTCTAACATTTAAAGTATATATTTTAAAGTATATTATTTACATTTAAAGTCTGGTTTGAACGGGGATGTATCGAGCGCTTTCTGCATAATGGTCAATTACCAAAGTTTAGACGTAAAAATAAGCATCTTAAGAAGACAAGGCTCTTAATATCCCAAATATTCCGAGTGAGCCATAAAGTTTAATTATTGTTCACGATTCTACGCAAAAAAAATGTTATTGGGAAAATAACATGTGAACCTACGAAAAATATCTTTGTATGGTTCAGTCAAAGAACTTTTTATACAATAAAATTATCGACTAAAAATGCCAACTAAAATTATCAAATGAAATTATCGACTAAAAATTTTCGAATAAAATTATCGACTGAAATCCACCATTGGTCCCTTTTCTTGCATAATAGTATTTCTTGTACATGTACTCTGTAATTATTTATAGTTTTTAGGTTGTCACATTTTCACATTGCATTTTCACAGAAAAAACAAAATATCAAAGTCGCTTCTTTTTATTTGACAACCTTCGGAACACTTGACACAACGTTCGGAAGGCAGATTTCAGTAATGTTGTAGCACGCGCAGACATTTTTCCGTGGTGTTAAGTTGTTTCACGGCATAATATACGAACAATTTCCATATTCAAAAACTGGTATCAATAGCTTTTGAATAGGGCCAATCTCGTTACCCGAGCATGCCCGTTCGCAGGTTGGGTGGGCATAGCTCTAGAGAAATCGAATTGATTCACGTTGCATTTCCAACGTGAGTTGTGCGCATGCTCGGGAATTGTTGCTTATTGAGTTCTCTCATTTCACGATGTCATTGTCTGTATAAAACTGTAGGCAAAGCAACAGAGATCTTAGTAAAATACATTTCTTAAAATTGCTGAAATTTTACATTCTCCCTCCTTATTTGCCAATATGTTTGCGAGTATACCCGTGTCACCTGTTTACATCTACCAAATGTCGGGGCTTAACTCAAATGCTTTTACCTACAATATGCCTACCTACTAAAATACCAACCCCCAAGTCGAAGGGTATTCGCTAGAAACGTCGAAGTTCTCCTTGCATTTTTCATGTAGTTGTATCCCTATCATGGCTATCAATCCGAAACTTTCGTACATATTTACCCCAGAATTTTTAGTTGTTTTGAATTGATTGCATTGTAAAAAGTATCAAATCTTCGACGAAAAATTCTAAATACTTTGTCAATATTTTACAACAATACCGAGCATGCGCACAACTCACGTTGGAATGCAACGTGAATCAATTCGATTTCTCCAGAGCTATGCCCCTCCCCCCGCCCTTAAGAGCCTGGGAACGAGGTTTCTCGCTGTCAACAGTGTCACCAGATTTGGTAATTTAAATTACTTTTGGTAATATTTCGCGATTTTTCTGACCTTTGTGGTAATTGAAAATTTTTGGTAATTTTTTAGTAATTTCTCTTAAAGTTAGTAATATTTTGGTTATGTCATGAAATTCAACCAAATACACCATAATGACACAACCTGTTATTCAAAAATTCAATGCTTGCTTGCAAAGCTGTACATCCAAATTGCAAGCTTCTGGCCCAAGCTGTCCAGCTGAATCGAGGGAATCCTGCTGATCACCACTCACCCTGTGCTGATTGCGGGCTAGGGACCCGGGGCCCGGCCCCAATCATTGCGGCGTCATATTTGCATTTTGCACAATTGCAACCAAAAAGTACAAGTGAGAAAGAAAAACATGGAAAAAACATAGTTTCAGTGATGGAAAGCGTTTTACTGATTTTGTTTTGCTGAGATGTTTTATTGATTTTCAGACCACTTTGGTTGACAGCAGAAATTTAGTAATTTTTTCTACGTTTTGGTAATTTTTTGCATGCTTGTTTAGTAATTGCCTTGCAAAATATCTGGTCACACTGGCTGTCAAGGAAAAATTTCCGATTTTTACCGTATACACACGAACAAGTAAAACTTGTATAGCAAAACTTGTCAAGGGACACTTGCTCGCCTGTACAGGATTTAAGAGGAAAAAATAATGAATTCTTAAGATAATACCTTGAAATATGCGCGGGATTGCTTCGCAATTTTATTTCTAAGGCAAACGTTCATGCATGATGATCCAAGATTCCGAGTTTTCACATTTCCCGGTCAGATCATACGAAGACTACATTGTTATTATTTCTTTATCTTTCACCAGTACGAGAAGCTGTACGCAAGGCTGAAGAAGCGGCAAAGAAAGCTGCTGAAGAATCTGGCAAACATGGAGATAATGCTGCTGAATTGAGAGTTGCTGCAATCAAGGCAAAACTCGCAGCGCAGAGTGCAATTAAACAACGCCTACACAGAGTTAACAAACTACATCCAAAGTTAAAGCCCCTCAGAAAGTGGGCACGCCCAAGTAAGCATAACGTATAAGAAATGGGAAGTGGAAAGATAGGTGCATGTTCTCCTTAAATGTCAATATATAGAGGATATTAGACGGTTGCGAGGAGTATGGATTTTATGTTCGATTGGCAAAAACAATATCGCGAACGAGTGAGATTTTTTTGACACGAGAACATAAATCCATATCTTTTCGCAACCGTTTAATGTTCTGTTTATTATATGGACTTATTCAAATTGACAGAAATGCACACAAAGACGACATGTAAATAAGCTGCGAAAGACCAGTATAAAAGCGATATTTTTAAAATTATAGTGCAAATATAAAACTAGAATAAATCAGTTTACTTATCTCAAGATGTCTTTTAAATGTTTTCGTTTTATTTCCAACGTTAATTTCGTTTTATATATGAACCAAAGGCCATTTGTATTTTCAAAACAACAACAATGAAAATGGCGGGAAATTTTCGAACTTCGCATAGCAAGTGTGAAATGCGGAAAATACGCGCATCGAGTCCCGGATGTAGTGGCATATGAGTTCTACGAGTGTTTTAGTTTCCAAAAAAACACCATTGTCCATATAATATATATGTCCATGCATGGAAATGGTCTATCATTTGGAACTAATAATACTAGAACGAAAAATAATTTACCCATGCTCGTGACATTTTGCAAAGCTTCTTAAAGAAAGAAAGAAAAGTGAATTACGAGTTCAATTCCTAGACCAGTATTTCTCTCTTCTGTGTAGGTAATTTGCACAGCAACATAAAGCAGTTTGTCAACCATAGGCATTTCAACAGGCTTTTGCCGCTCGTGCACCGTCGATTGAGACGACCACTTCATAGGTACGTAATCTGATTAATATGTAGATTTCAGCTGATTCAATGATGGTCTTATCTTTTCTAAAATTAATATACAGTATAATTATAGTACCTGCATGGTGGAAACCAAACTATAATAATTTTCGTTGTAGACATGCATTTTCACATATGATCAATTTAAATGATCTTGCACATGAGGGGGCTCCACAAAACACTTATCAAGAAGACACAGCCTTGGAGGATAGATTAGCTTTGGAAGCTGAGGAGGACAAAAAGATTGGATCACAATATCCAGACGATACTGATTACACATTCTCTCGATCTTCGCTGACAGGTCGAGATGCTACACAGGTATTATGAAGAATTACCACTATGGTATGTGGTTGTATTATCTATCTTTTCTTTGCACTCCTCGTCCATTATATATGTATCCTTTGAGAACATGCCGTCAAAACATTATTTCTCAACGGTTTTCCCACTCCTCTTAATCGTTCTGTTCCCTCCTAATTGATGGTTGGATGCGCAATACTCTCATGTGAGATTGAACAGTGGGGTTTTTCATCCTAGGTTTAATTTGTTGCAGTGCCCGCAATAAGTAGTTGGACAGTTTTCATGAGTAATATATATGACACTTTCACTACTTCAGGGAAAGTCATTGCTAAGTACACGTTAGTTGTAATTTTATTCTGTTTTTGATCCTCTAGAACATTCAAAATCAAGTAGCAAGAGAGAGTGCTCGAGAGCTTAAAGAAATACAGCAGCAAATCAATGCTGAATCGCAAAATTCACTAGGCAAGACAACGATGGGTGACCCGGCTGCCATGTTTCATAATCCCGCGCCTCAACATGCAGGAGCTCAGCAAAAACCTCAAGCACGTAATGGCATGATGGAACTACAAGCAGGTAAGATGCCTTTTGCTGGTCATTGGACATTAGTGTTTGCAATTATTTTTGCAACAGTGTAAATTCATAGAGTTGATTATTCTGCGTTTTTGTTCCAGTTATGTGTGCCTTTTGCCTTCGGTAGGAAATTCAGTATACACGTAACGTCATAAAAATGTACAATGGCCTTGTGCAAGGGCCTTCGCTCGAAACGTCGAGTTTCTGCTTGTTTTTTTCAGGAAGCAATATAACCACTCAGCACTACAATAAGATATCCGGCTTGAAACGATTTTTTTTTCTGTGTTGGTTTTATGTACTCAGGTGACTATGATGTTTGTGATGTTACTCTGAGTGTATATTCACACCGGGTAAGCTTGAAAAATATGCCTGCCAACGGTGGGAATCGAACCTACGACCTTTGGAATACTAGCCCAATGCTAGTAACCTGCCAACTGAGCTACACGGTCAGGTCGGTTTTTGTATGTGATATTTCGGAACTGAGTCTAGTTCCTTCGATATCAATGCAATCTTGTAATCATGATTTTTTTCTGTCTTGGTTTTATGTACTCAGGTGAATATGATGTTTGTGATGTTACTCTGAGTGTATATCCACCCCGGGCAAGCTTGAAAATATGCCTGGCCACGGTGGGAATGCACCTACAACCTTTGGAATACTAGATTGATATCGAAGGAACTAGACTCAGTTCCGAAATATCACATACTCGAACCGACCTGACCGTGTAGCTCAGTTGGCATAGCATTGGGCTATTATTATTCCTAAGGTCGTAGGTTCGATTCCCACCGTGACCAGGCATATTTTTCAAGCTTGCCCGGTGTGGATATACACTCAGAATAACATGACAAACATCATTTTCACCTGAGTAAAAACCAACACAGAAAAAAAATCATGATTACAAGATTGCATTGATATCGAAGGAACTGGACTCAGTTCCGAAATATCACATACTCGAACCGACCTGACCGTCTAGCTCAGTTGGCAATTGGGCTAGTATTCCAAAGGTCGTAGGTTCGATTCCCACCGTGGCCAGGCATATTTTTCAAGCTTGCCCGGTGTGGATATACACTCGAGTAACATCACAAACATCATATCTTGAAACGATGAGAAAACTTGAAACGTCGATCATGCGCTCTTTCTGTTGTGATGTAAAATCTCTAAATCCATCTGCACGACATTTTTCCCATCAGAAATTCTTGTTTATAATGACCGACTATCAGTAGTATATTTTTACTATATAATTTGAGTAAAATACTGTATAATGTTAATACTAAAAACTGTATATTTTAGAAGTATACTATTTTACTAAAGTATTTGACATTTTCATTTTTCTACAGGCTTGAACCACGCTCTAACGAATGCAGATAGTATGAACAGCGATCCAAGACTTATGAGTTCGCAACTGAATAATGAAGAAGGTAATTCAATTGGCGGAAGTTCCTTTACCGGACTGGGTGAAGAGAGACAACTAGGTGGTATGGAATCGAATATGGCCGGGATCCAATCCATGGAAAATCCAGGACAAACAGAACAGATGGGAGACGGACAGGCTAGTATGGAAGGACCACAAGGAGGTAAGACGTTCTGGGATTGATAAAACGAATTACGTTTGTCTTGCTTTCTGGTGCAGAGACGTAAACGTGTGAAATACATTTTGTACGTAGTGCCTGCTTCGTCTACACGCGCGTTTTCTAAACCATTATTCGCGTTCATTATTTCCTTGAATGGTATGGCGCAGCAAATCATCTCCAACTCCTCAATTTTGACTTGACCATACTCTAAACTCCTTTAGTTCACAACCTTGAAAAATAAACATGCCTGGTTAGTGGTTACCATTGTTCTAGCTAACGAGAGTATATAGACATGCGCAAATGTTAATATTTGCCTAGGAATTTCATTAATTATCAAATTTGCTAAGATAAAAAATAGCCCAGTAATTGAGGAGTATTGTTACTAGTTATACTACTATAATAAATACAGTCATTGACTTGCTATGATTACTATTACGTTTACTACCAAGATTACTACTGTATACATCTTACTGATAAGTAAATACTAAGATTTGTGTTAGAAATTGTGAATTTGGTATGAACGAGCATTAATCCTAGGGGTGTTAGTGTCCATATGTTTTGCTTCTCATTATGAAATTTAATTTCTATTATAGAAAGCATACAATCTGCAGCATCAGCTTTAGCAGCTGGTGCAGGGCAAGCAGCGTTCGGTAATCCCAACCAAGGAATATCTAATGATGTGGGTGGTCTTGGTGGACCTGGAGGACTTGGTGGACCTGCAGGACTTGGAGGACCAGCAGGACTTGCAGGAGCTGCAGGAATGGAAGGTGCTAGTCTTGGTAATGGAGCTTTAGAAAGTGGTTCGTTAGGTGCAGGGGCAGGTAGTCTAGGTGGTGCCGGTGGAATGATGCTTGGAGGAAATGGTCTTATGGGAGGGAGTATGAAGAAGGTATGTGATGTTTGAATATGACTTTTTCATCAATTGCGATGCCATCTATATAGCTAGGGTCGTGATCTGGTATAGCCTACCCAGGTACACTATACAGTAAATGTCAGATTAAAGAAGCAGTTTGCTTCGTATAATGGTATACCATGCAAAATGTTCATTTGTTGAAGTTTTTTATTTAACTTTTTTGTAGTCAAAAATCAACAAAAGTAGAACCACATAAATGTGATAATGGAGAAATACGGTCGATGCTCGTTTGTTTTTGAATCGCTGATCCTTGACGTTTCAAAAGAGGCTGATTTGGATGTTAAACGGAACCATACAGCATTTTTGGGAAATAATTCATTATTTGTGTAAATATATAGCGTAACAATGCTTATATATGTAGTGTATATATTATCAAACACAATTAGTGCAACTTAGCATAAATTAAGGCTGATTAACACTATCAAAGTTTCGTTTAGCAAGTACTGATCTCTCGAAAACTTTGGTAAAAACACACAGTCTTGACGTAATATTTCAAATCCGACTGTGAGGACTGGACTAGATTTCAAGTCCGCGCAATTTGATCAAGTCCGAGGCGAAGCCGAAGACTGGATCAAAATTCGAGGACTTGAAATCTAGTCCAGTCCGAATTGGAGGATTTGAAATGACATCTACTTAATTCATTTTGATCCAGTCCATGGACTGAATTAATTTTGATCAATGTACTAGACTGGATCAATCAGTGGCGTAACGTTATATCAGGGGGCCCCCGGTTCAAAATTTTCGAAGACCCCCCTAGTAGAGGTGCCAAAGGCACGAGTCGAGCGCCGTATATGCACGAGTTTTCTAGGGGGTCCAGGTCATGCCATTTCCTGGACTTTGGGGAGAGATTTTACAGAATTCTGATGGTCATAAAACGACATTGTAACATATCAGAGGCCCTGGCCAATGTTTTTGCCCTATTGCCTAAGCCTGGGGGCCCCCATTTGGGTTGGGGTCCCCCGGGTTCACCCGGTCTGAGCCCATAGTAGTTACGCCACTGGGATCAATGTACTTCATCAGGTATCCAGTATTATCATGTGAGCAAAATAAAGCAATATGGTTGGCTACTTTACTCATGAATTATTCATGAATTATTGATGAGTTTGAGATAGTAAGAGCCTTCTCGCCAAAGTCGATTAATGCGTGATGTCGATGCACTGTGATTGCAAAAATAAGATTATGTAATCCAGAATTTGCTCGTGTTTTTTTGATAAATTAAGTAATCGATGTGATTATATGATATTTTAAAAAGCCAATATGAAATTATAAAAGTATTTGACAGTTTTTTCTGTTGCTAAAACACTGATTTGTCTCTATTGCACAATATGTTGTACGAGAAAATTAGCGACAGAGCAGATTTGATAATGAAACTGAAGTTGACGATTGTTCAAAAATCAGTTAACAAAGTACCTATGATAAAAAGTGTCGCACATTCTCTAATGGTAGTTAGATCATTAAAAATTTTTATTGATTTTCTAGCACTTTTCTACCCTTCGGAAGGCCTGCGCCATCTTCGACAGCATATGCGACTTTTGTGGCAGTTGTGCATCATTGATTCAGACGCCGAATAATATTATTGAATATGGGGCATTTTACCTTATTAATTCAAAAACAAGTTAAATGTATTTTTTGCACATGTACAATGGAAGGTAGTTAACAGGGAATTAAGATACGCCCACACTACTACGCATAACACGTTGTTGTATGAATATATAATATGAATATATATATGTATATATATATATATATATATATATATATATATATATATATATATATATATATATATATATATATATATATATATATATATATATATATATATATATATATATATATAATGAAGAATTAGCATGCAACGAGACTTCGCGATCAATTGCTTCGAGCTTCTCACCCATGCTTTCCAGTTTCCCCTTCTGCGGTCGGTTTTGCTTTTCTCGCTGCTTGTTACGTTTCATGTTCCATCCGCGTCCAGAACCGGTTCGAAGTCTTTTCCCGATGCGAATCATCCTCTTGTTTCTCCTGCGACCATCCCCTTTCTGCTTCGCTTATTTAGTGTAGGTTGGCTAAGGAATTCAGTAATCATTTAATATGTGATGGTACCACGAGTTCCGTCTCTATCGGCGACAGTGGGCAAACTTAATTAAGAATAATAACTGCAATAGTCATTGTAGTCCTAGTGTCATGTTGATAAATTAAGTTCGGCGAAATAAGTGCGTCGTTATATTATTAAATTCGAAATAATTATGTTTATCACGTCTGAAACATCCCCCAGAGGCACATTCATATTCTGATGGAGTGTTACAAAAAGGGATACTGAATTCGAGACACGTATTGGGACTCAATGCTGGAATTGTGCTTATTTTAATTATATGCATTACAATTAAGTGCAAACATGATGATACTCGATTACAATGTAGTCAAACACTTATTTGATTGTACAACAATTTTGGTACTTTTGAGAAATTTTTACACAATAATTTCAATACATCATAAGTACATCTACTAACTGGACGTCTTGCTAACCCAGGCGTCATCCTAACTGCCAATTTCAACAAGGAGAACAGACTGTGAGGGAGTTATGAGGCTGAGCTCATGATGTATTGCATGCCTGAATAGCTGTGTGGATCCGAAAGCATACTCCCCGGAAACGTTTTTGAATTTTAGAAGTCCAGAATGGTTATTTCCTGATGTTTGAGAGTGAAATTTGGTTTGTTTTTGCCTGAAATCTCTGTATGAATGCTCAATTTATCTCCATATAATTCTCTTATAAAGTTCCAAAATTCAATTTTAGGACTGGCCATTCTAGGTTTTACAACTACCCATCTAACATTCAGAACTGCGCATTTTGGAAAATGTGATAACCAACCCCTGTGGTAACCAAGATCAGGGTAAGCCCAGTTCTTAGAAGTCTCAACTCTTCAGTACTTTATATCAACAGGTGGGATGAATTCTGCCTGTGCTAGTGGTCAGCAAATTGCGGGCTCACCGGAAATTATTTTAAAAAATCTTAAAATAAGCATGAACACGTTTCTGAAAGGAAGCTTCGGATTGAGAGGGATTCAACTTCCTGAAAAATAGAAGTAAAACAATAACGTGTCGAAGGAAGTGCCGTCGCTCTAAAAGAAGGGCCTCCGCTGATTTTAAAATTTCCCGGGGGATCATGGCCCCCAACCCCTCTAGCAGGCTCAAGCCTTCGGCGTTCGCAGTACCATCCAACAATGTCTTGATAACGTCACACATTGTCCCTCCCCCCCCCCCTCACACACACACACACATTAGAGACCTTAAAATGTAGGACGGCAAAGCGACGACGACGGCCAAAACAAATT